ATCAAACCGAAATACAGCCAAGCAAACACAACTGCTTTACGGTTGAAACTGGATTGAGAACTCCCTGCTTTACGACCAACTTCAAAAAGAAGGAGATTATCAATACGGTTGTTTTTTTTTTTATGTTTTTCATTTCATAACTCCATCAGTTGTAAACCAATTTGAAAAATATTTTTCTTTTTGACATACTTACAGATTGGTGGAGTAGAAACTTTATCGAAATCGGTTCAGTAGTTTTGTTTAGAAATCACAATAACTCGTTTTCCTATAACTCAAGTCTATTTTTTTCGTGAACACAATTTTAATTTAATGTCGGTTGAAAATTATTCGTAAAAATCAGTAAGGGTTAATTTTGACGCAATCGAATGGGAATCAAACAAAAAATAACAGACTTTTTCCGAGTAAAGGAGATGCTAATCCCTTTGCTAGCATTGTACCCTCAATACAGCCAAGTAACTTAACTTTATCCTCATAGTTTTTTTTTACTAACACCCTATCACCATTTAACCACGATGATTTCTAGAGGAAACTGCATGGAGGTGGACCTGACAGGGTACATTGCTAGAAATGGGACATGGGACAGTTATATCCCATCATTCACAATCCCTTCTCACCGGGGCAAAGAAGTTTCTTCAATATTAATAACGTGCGCGTATTATATCCTCGGTATTGCTGACGTTCAAAAGCTACGTTAAACGCTCACTATCAGGCGGGCCGTATGCTATATCACCCTAGTAGTTAAAAAAAAAATTACGTAAACACGTCAATACCATGTTATTTCAATTTAATCCCAAGGAATGGACGTTTCCATATCGGCACTTACAAATTAATGTGATAATAATTTTAAACTTTGTTCCGTGAAAAATAATACAGGGATTTCAATTATAACAAAAAGAATATTAAATTGAACTAAAAAAAAAAAAAGTTAAATACGTACATTACCGAACCAATTTAGTTTGATTAAACGAAGCTGTTTGACCAGTTGAAAATAATCATGAAGTAACATAGCATAAATAATGAGAAGCCACATCATTAGCTATTACAAGAGCAATTATTAAATTAATAACTTAGCTAATGAAATAATATAATCTGATATTAAAATATATTTGAGGCCACCCACAAACTACCCTTATAAGTGAAATAAGGATTACATTCACCCACGTTCATGCCGTGGGAAATACGTGGGTGTATTCTGTTTCTAACTACTTGTAGAAATCTTTTTCTATACTACAAACATTGATGTATAAAAATTTAAGATCTAACCCGACACTAAAAATCGTTATATATTGTCGATGCTCGTTACATATATATCTACACTTTGAGAAGCTCGTGATTAAATTGTTTCCCTAAGTGAACACCCTGAATAGTATAACTTAGTTAATTGTTGGAGCAATTTCTTAATGATTATAACTAAATCAATTACATTACGATCATTAATAAATTACTCTATCATAAAGCATCAGAATAAAGAAAATAAATAAAAATATATCATCATAGTCATAGTATACTGACGGATCTGACGAATATTACATATATAGATCCGTCAATATTCTACGATTATGACGATATGTGTGTAAACCTTTATGGGATAGTCAGAGGTATCACATATAATACTTGATTTATATTTGCCATTCTCACACTTCACCAAACAATTTATTAAATGGGAAATGTTTACTTCTAGAACTACACTGGTGACTCATACAATATTACATTTTATTGTGCAAACTATCTTAGCTCAAAGAATCAAAGCCTTATATCGAGTGTTAATTATGTCTTTTCTCCTTTACATCTATGTTGTTAAAATAGAAAAGCTGTTACTTTTACAGCAAAATCTTAATATAAAATAGGCAAAGAGAATAAAGTGATAAATGTCTCCTTCCACACATCTTTAATTCTATATATATCTTATGATAATTTATTATAACATATATGATAATTTATGATAAAAGGAAAATTGTAAATAGAAACAATAAGGAAAATAATCTAACATTACATACAGTATAGAAATAAAGGATGCAATTATATACTTTGATATTAATATATATATATATATATATATATATATATATATATATATATATATATATATATATATATATATATATATATATCAGATCATAATTTAATTTTAGCCATTCATTGCCCACTGCTGAAAATAATCCACTCCTATAGACACCACAAGAAATTATCCTAAATAATCTACAGGATGCCAAGTAGATTGGGACTGTGGCGCCTTAATAGTTTTAATAACCTATTTAAGAATCCAGTTATTAAACCCTAATTACCATATTCATTATATTTATACTGTACCTTGTTTAAACTACAGTTATATTTTAAGAAAATAAATTAATTTTATTCCATTTTATATTTATTGATTCCCTGAAACATACATGTGGAGTAGATTTTCTCCAGGGTTAGACAGTACACATATCAAGCAATTCGGACACCAATTTGACCACCCAATAGAGTTGTAACTGGTCATTCTTAATTAGTTGTGAAAATTTACACTTAACTAAGGCTAAGTAATAATTATATACACATCATTCTATTGTATTCAATAATTTCTAAATAACACAATATGACAGATTTACAACAATGTTAATGGCACTTTAATAAAATTTCTACATAATATTTAAATTGTATTTTGTTTTGTTATATTAATATTTATTCAATTCATTGATAGAATTGTAATGAATTAATTTATATTATTTGACTGACATAATCCAAAAGATAAGCGAGCTGAAGTGGCTATGGGCTAATAACATAGCTTGAAGAACCGACAATCAATTGTGAAGAAAGGTTTCTGAGCGATCAATCTGTGTAGGAAAATACTGTATTTGATGACCCTCACCAGATGAAGCAATGACCTCAAATACATTACAGGGAGTCAGTAGATGCAGATGGCTTAGAACTGTTTCTTATGGCTGTCTATGATGGAGGCCTAAGTTCAACAGTGGACAGTTAATGGCTGATATGTCGATGGTTTTGTATGAATTACTATTATTTAATGTATCACCTATTCTAAATATATTTGTAATATTGTATACATTCTGGAGAACCACAGTAAGCTATATGTAATTATTAAATAGTTAATGTAAAACCCAGAGATTTGTTAACAAAAATAAGATGTATAAATAAATAATAAAATAAAAAATATTACTAGATCTCATCACTGGTTATGGTAACTAGATTTTTTTTAGATTTATAATAAATGTTTAATTATCCATTATATAGTTATATGTATTATATTAATATATTATATTATGATGTTTTTGATTATTAGATTAAATTATTATTAGATTTAAAACAATATATAAATAAATCAATAGAAACCAAATTAGTATACAAATGGTAAATGACATAACATGATAATATAATACATTTAACTATATCATGAACAATTTGACATTTATTATAAATTCTCTATAAGATTCACAAAACTACAACATGTTTAAAGAGAATATATGGTCTTCAATATATTGGTCTGTATATAAAGCATACAATCACAGAAAATGCTAAGATTATAATAATACTGTTGTTGTTTATTCAGTTGTAATTTAGAAGCATCTTTCTTAACATTTATTATATAGTTTAATACCTATAGTGATACAGGGTGAGAACAAAATCATTTAAATAATTTTAAGGAAGAATTCTAATAATAAAACTGAACATTTTTCTCTCAGAGGAACATGGCTCAACAAATGACAAAAATGTTTGAGATTCTTACATTAACATGACATGTGAAGCAGTTAAATTATTATGAGAAGATTAAGTTTAAATGCAAAATATAAAAATGCATACACATTTAAATATATTATAAATTAAGTACAATTAATACTAACATATGTGAAAGTTTGTAAAGGTGTTTAGATGTTTCTGTTTGTTACTCAATCACACTTAAATGGCTAAATAGATTTGAATTAAGTTTGGTAGTCAAATAGGTTTTATTTTAACACATAAGATACTTTATATACCGATTCACACAGACAAAGCCTACTACTTTCCTATGAAAAATAATCATATGAAAATATAATGAAGTAAATTAAAATGAAACAGAATAGAATATTGAAATTATGATGATTAAATTAGATTTTTTTCACTATGAATCTATAAATATTATATGGATTTCAAACACATATTCCCATATGTTGGGTTTTTAAAATATATTGCTTCTTTGAAAATTTACATAGTTCATTTATTCTTATATTATACATGTGAAGTATATATTTAATGCCATTATTTTCAGAATAGTTTTAACAATAAGTTAGAAATATTAATATAATACATAATAAAGTTTAATGTGTAAGAATGAAACTATAGTAAACAAAGCACACAAATAGTTAAAAATTATTCATAGATAATGATGTCTATATTATTATAATAAAATATATATCTACCTATAATATTATTATGATTCATTTTAAAACAATGATATATAATAGTCTTTGTCATTAAAAAACATTATTTAAGTATTGTGATGTTAGTAGCATCATAACATGAAAAATCATGACAAGTGAGCTTAGAATGTTATCTTAAAGAAAGTAATTCATATTATAAGATTGGTAAGATAAATAGTTTAAACATTATGTGGGTCTAAAGAGATAAATGGATTGCAACAATGACTCAACCCAGCTTTTGACAAGTCCACAATTTGACATTTTATCAATGGAAAAACAATTCAATCTTCTATTCACTAATGGGTGTGTATACTTTTATAACCAAACGATCACAACCAAAATAAAGAAAATAACATCAATGAATTTACATTGAACGGTTTACGTTGCATATTAGATAGGTACCTACTCTCGTAACTAGATGTACGTCCGTCAGCTGCCATTCGAAAGAATATGTGGCAAAAGTCAAACTTTCATTTCGTACAAGGATGCACTAAAAATACACTATAAACACTCAATACACCACCTCTTACGTATGTAATATCCTAAACTATAATTTTGTCAAACGATTCAAATAAATGAGAAAAAATTAAAATCGATGTTTACCTTGTCTCCTCTTAATGCAAATCTTTTCTATTGCAGAATCGAGACTGCTAACCCTTCCGCAAGAGTTGAAGACGAATCCTTTTCAATTGACCTACAATGCGGTTCACGATTCAATTTAAAATAAAATGCAAAGCTGAAATAAATACAACTGTCCCGAGGATATTTTCTGCGAGTTACTATACATTTGTTTTATGAAATGGCCTAATCTTTTACAAGATTCCGTTCTGTATTTCCATAGACAAGTTTATATTTACTTTTTAATTTCGAATACTAAATTGAATGAGTAATTTTCCGCTTTAGTCAAGGATGCTACTTTCTCTTCATTTTCTTTTTCACATATTGCTGAACAAATAGAAAAATATTTTATTATAATTAATTATAAAACAAAAATATTATAAATTATTTGATAATAATTTAAAAGAATGTCATGCTGGCAACAATATTTATAATTTTTTTTGAGAAATTAATCCTTTTTATTAAAAAAATAATAAATTTATGTTTATTATATATTAAGAAAACAGAATTAAAGTATACTAATTAACTAAAATTTTATACATTTATTTAAATTGTCCTAAATGACAGTTCCAATTGTTTATGGTTTATGGATCGTTTTGAATTTTTCTAGATGGAGCTGTTTGTCAAAACTACAATAACCAATAGATGTCATTATTTAGATATAAACATGTTACTCTTAATATCACTATTATACAAAAGATGGAGCTAACGTAAACAATTCGTTTTTAAATCTGCGCCTGCGAATGAAAAATCTTTCTAGTAACTGCGCTGCTAGTAATATTCCTCAAGGTCAACATCCACGCGGTTCCCTCTGGTCACTATGGTTGTAAAATCCCTGGTTATTCCTGATTCGTCACGATGGACTAACTGATATAACCGTTCTCTTAGAGTGGGGAAAGGGATTGTTTGTAATGGGGTCTAACTGACCCCAACCAGGTCGCGGTTCCCCCTGGAAACTATCATGGTTAATTCCTGATGAATTCATCATGATGGGCTAACTGGCCTGTTTTCATTCTCATCTATCACCCCTCACTGGTGCTCCGCCAGCGTATCCCGTTGGCACAAGCGGGGTTATCATTCCATTTTCACCCATAAAAAAAAAACCATGATGGTTTTTAGAGGGAAGCGCTTGCCACTTGACTACTTGCCACTAGAGGGCCTGACATGTTTTCATCTTATCATCTCTCAATAGTAGAGGCCAGTAAAAGCCAGTAATGCAAGCGGGGCAATAATAATTTTATCATTATTAATAAAAAAAAAAAAACCTTTTGCGATACACAATAAGTTACTACGGATGTGATAATTACGGATTACGAGTATGAATAATTTAATATGTAGACATCGTTTAGCGTATCGTCGGCGGATATCGTGAAGGATACCTAATTATTCATTCCGTCGATGAGGCGTTTCATTACAGGTTATATTATTCTTAATGACAACGACAATATATTTATGTCAATGACACCGATCTCGGTTCCGACAAGGCCTAAAATCTGTAACGTCTTTGGCTTGAATTTAGATGAGAACTGAACTGACTTTCTTTGTTCTCATTTATAAACATCTCTGTTGAATATTTTTCCATGCAATATCATTATATCAGCCTTTAATATTAATTTAATGTCCATTGCTGAACATAAGCCTTCCCCGTGGAGGGGTTTTTCCACGCTTGGAAAGCGGATTGTTAATCGCAGTTACACTTTGGACATGTTTTTAGAGGCATCGTTTTTTTTTTTTTATGGGTGATAATCGAATGGTAACCCGCCTGAGCTATCGGTATACGCTGACGAGACACCAAGCAGGGATGATAGGTGACGATGAAAGCAGGTCAGTTAGCCAAACGTAACGAATTCCACTAGAACTAACCATAATGGTTTCCAGGGAGAACCGTGTGGAAGTCGACCTGATAGGGTGTATTGCTAGCCCTCATCACTAACAATCCCTTTCCCCCTGAGAGGCACTGTTGTACTGTTGTACATCCCCGCCCTCCCTTAGTCGCCTCTTACGACAACCACGTTAAGAGGTGGCCTATTCTATGCGGGACCACAAGGCAAATGCTGTATATAATCTTTACATTATTTTATTTTTCTTGTAATAAAAATATACTTACAATCATAATCTCTAAATAGTAATCAGTTGTGGTGGTGGAAATGGCCTCATTCGCCTTGCATGGCCTCCAAACCTATCCAATTGTCCTTCGGATTTACTATATTGTTTGTTATCCGTGGTGGTATATATATTTCATGGTGTTTTTTATTATTATCGGGGAGTTAGTGGAAATTGAAATTGGAACACAAAAGAGGACGATTCTGAAGCGCCATTTTTCTATATTAAAGGTTAATTTAAATTTAAGAATTTCGCGAAATTACTGTTTTATTGAGCATCACAAACTAAAGTTATAATAATATTGATTTAAATCTATTAAAAAAATTGTTTATATTGGTCCTTGCAATGAAAAGTTTGCTGTGATATCGCTCAGAATTGACCCCAAGTTATTGTGTCGTCCAGATAGTTTTTCAAATTTAGTAAATCCAAATAAAACATGTGTATACAAGCATATCATATATTTTTTTTATAATAATTAAGAATAAATTCTTACATCACGAGTTATAAAATAAATACATTTATTGCCTTAAATTAAGTCCAAAAGTATTCTGTACAATTATTGTTAGCGATGTACAAACGAGAACAAGTAAAAATATCCAAAAAACAAAGTAATAAAAAATAAAAAGGGGACCTTATCGTGAAATTCAGTTAAGTCTTCCACAATTCTCAGTGTGACAAATCTACTGAACAACTTAACAAATTGTGTCATAATCACAACCAATAGTTTGCATCTTAATTTCATTTCTTATCAATATTAGACAAACTATTTTATATCATTGCTCTTCGCTTACCCTAAAACAAGAACCATTCTTTACCTTACAATTATAATTACAATTAAATTAACACTATCTAAACGCTAGCGGGTGTTATAATCTGGACTGTTGTGCTGTTATTCACGAAATTGCCATGCCGTTCGTAATCTCGAGGGTCGTAAAGCGGCAGGCGGGCTGCGTGCAACACTTGGTGTGTCGAGGTGTCAGGCAATCGTGTCGTCGGGCATCGTGTAGTGGAACAGTTCATGTGTCAAAGGCTGCCGCAGCCCGACGCGACTTTACATCGCAACAACGGAGTTTCATTGCTTACAAACAAGGCGACACAAATTGAAGGCCACTGTGACATTCACAATGTGCGACTACTAGCCTAGCATATTAATATGCCCTATGTTCTATGACGTTAAAAATGTGATGATTCCGGTAATATTGGCATTATCATAAAGAAACTGAAAAAATAAATTAAATAGACATAGTTTAAAAATATCACGAAATTAAATTCACGTGGCAAATAATATGGCATCAGATTTTAAGTACTTTTAAATATTAAAAGTAAAGACTACTCGAACTAACCACTGTGTAGTCCGAAGCATATAAGTGGAGTACATTCGCACACCCTTATTGTATTGTAATATTTAAGAGTCTATTAAGGTATTGGAAGACAGAAAAACATTGCTATCAGATCAAAAGTAATAAAAAGTCACAATCTTAAAACTGGTACATTAATTTCAAAGGTTACACTGGCCGTCAGCCGAAATAATAATGATAAACCAATTTCACTAAATAGGATTTAATTAATCTAAAACTAAAATGGACAAATCGTTCATAGTAATGTACTTGTGTGTATTCCGCGTGGAGCGGACGAGGCGAGCGGGCAGTGCGCGGCCGTCGCCTTCACCGCGGGCTCGGGCTCCGTTAATTTCACATTGACTAGATAACTGTGTGCATAGGAATCGTACATAAAAATAGCTAAGTAAAGGAACCGATACACTGAAATTCTGGCATGTCTCTGTAAAAAACCGCTCCTAAACTAATTTATTGCCATAAGCAAACGAATTACGTCTAACCGTACTATAAGTTACGTAGAATACACAGTAACACGTCTAATTTTGTACAATTTGTACAAACGCATCCGCTTTCACTAACATAAAAAAATCATGCTCAGTCGAGAAACCTACGGGAGGGACCTAGTCGTACGACAGTAAACATAGGGGGTCAGCCGGCTTCTAGAACTTCACAATGAATCTCACAACATGCGGACTAACAAAAATCACTAACAAAATATTTGATCTCTCGTTTCACTGACGTACAACGGTACAACGAATTAAGTACATCCGCGGGGAGGCAGCAGACGGTGCAGACGGTGCTGGGCGCGCAGGCTACGAGACGAGCTCGCGGCGCGGACGGTCGCAGCCGCGCGGCTGCCATCACTTGGGCGGCTGGTAGGGCGGGTAGGCCTGGTGCGGCTGCGCGCCGCGGCTGCCGGTCGCGTACAGCTGCTGCTGGAAGTTGTGGAACTGCGCCGCGTACGTGGGGTCGGCCGTGGACTGCATCGCGAAGCCCTGGCCCTTGAAGCCGGGCCCGGGGCCGGCCATCGAGGGCGGCAGCGGCTGCGCGGCGCCCATGCGCACGCCGGGCCCCAGCGCGCCCTTGCCGCCGCGGAAGCCGGGCCCCGGGCCGCAGACGGCGGCCGCGGGCCCGAACGGGTCCATCTTGGGCGGCGAGCCGAAGCCGGCCGGGTAGGGCGCCATGCGCAGCATGCCGGGCCCGCGCAGCACGCCGCGCATGCCGCCCTCGGGCTCCAGCCCGCGCGCGCCCGGGAAGTACTGCACGCCCTTGCCGCCGTCCAGCTGCATGGGGCTCGTCACGCGCTGCAGGAACTCCAGGCTGGGCGGGCCGCGCGGGCCCGAGTTGCACGCCATCTGCGGCCGCGTCGGCAAGTATTGGATCGTGTTGGGCGCGCTGGCCTTCACCTGCACGTTGGCTCCGTTGAAGGGTGGCATCTTGCCGCCGCCGGGCCCACGCGCACCGATCATGCCATCGCCGCCCATCGCGCCCATGCCACCCATGCCGCCGCCGCCCATCTTCGGGCTCAGGTTTATGTCCGGCGGGAATTCGCCGCCGCCCATCATGCCCTCCATGGGCCCGCCCATTCCCGGTCCACCCATGTTGTCCATATGACAGCCTGACAAAAATAATGTTATGCCATACATGATTTATCTTAAGCTATACTCTGTCTATTATCGTATAGTGCATATAATTATTGACGACTTAGTTTTTACTATAAAGGAATGGGCAGAATACCAATATCTATAGAGTTAAAACTAATCTAAAAATCATATTTCTGATATTTTCATTGATATTTCAATTTCATTGATCCATAAGTAACATTTTAATAACAACAAATGCTCTACAAAATCAAATATTTTGTGTGACTTTTAAATAAATTTTACATTTTTATACTAATTCAGTGTCACTGATTAATAGAAATATTTCTTATAAATAAGTTATTATTAAGAAAAACTACAGTTATAAAAAACTTGATTTTAAGTAAAATTTCCAAGAACATAATCTATGTAATGTAAAAACTTAGTCCCACTATCATAGATTCACTTCAATAAATACATATGTAGCAAAAATTGTCTACGATATTTACACAAGGCTAATAGGCCTATATTTGGATTCAATAAAACAGATACTACAAATATATCTTTATGTAAAAGGCAAATTTGATATAGACAGAGCAGTGTAATCTATCATTATTTTGTCGCCGAAGATCAACCCCCCTAGACAAGCGGCAAGCGAATCCATCGATGGAATTGTTATCAGAAGCTAGTCCATGAGTTGGAATGAGACATTCGACGTTGCTATCTCATTCTATCTCACGGAATCGCTAGCGATGTCGATTACATCGATGAATTCGGTTGCCACTTGTCTAGAGGGCTAGTGCTAGATTAAAACAGTTATTTTTACACTAGATCTGTACTATACACGCATCAAATTGTATGTTAAGTATGAAACCAGATCTCACCCAAGTCGTTCATCATCATATGCGGATGCGAGTGTGGATGCATAGGATGATGTGGCAGGTGGTGCGGCTGGGGCGCAAAAGGCCCCATGGGGCCGGGTCCGGGGCCAGAAGCGCCCGGCCCGGGGCCCGGCCCCGGTGCTCCACTCGTGAGCTGTTGCGACATCTGCGCCAACGAGGAGATAGGATCGAAGGACGCGGCTGCGCCCCCCATGGGCCCGCCGGGGCCCTGATTGGGGTTGATGGGGATGTTGTCGGGACGAGTCATGCTGCACGCGCTCGGAAATGGGCCCGGTAAGCTTGTGCTGTTTGGCCCGCCCGATAACGTCGTCTAAAACGAAATTATATTTATAATAACACTCAGATTGTATACATAAGAAGAAGTACATCTATGTGATATTAACAAGTTGGAGGAAAAGGGATTGTTAGTAATGGAGTTAAATAGCCCGATTACTAGCGATATACGCTGTCAGGTCGACCTCCACGTGGTTCCCCCTGGAAACCATCGTGGATAAATCTAGTTGAATTCGTCAGGATGGGTTAATTGACCTACTTTCATCCTCATCAGTCATCTATCACTGGTGCCCCGCCAGTGTATACCGATAGCACAGGCGGGGTTACCATACCATTATCATCCATTAAAAAAAACATACTAACAAGTTAAATTGATATAAGGACAAGTAATCATTTTATCATAGAAATGATGATCATCTCATATTTCATTCCTGTGACAAATGTACTTGAGAACATGGTCATTTCTGTTATTATTGTGACAAAAGATCTGTCAGATGTGATTGACCATTTCTGTTAAATTTCATTCCTATGATTTTAGTCAGAAGAATGGATGAATGCTAACAGATATGATAATCCCCTGACATTTCTCGTCATTCCGGAGACAAAAATCTAACAAATGTGACACATTTATGTCATTTATTCATTCATTTAACAAATGTACTGTTGAACATGACCTTTTCTGTCATTCTTATGTCAAAAATGCTGACAGACGTGACAATCTCTGTCGTATTTTATTTGATCAGTACTAGCAAATGTGATGTCAAATTCTATACTATATCATACCTCACTACTAGGTGTCATATTATCCTCTATACTGCCGCTGGCGGTGGTGGGGGCAGTACTGGAAGCTACACTGCAACTACTCTTGACGCTACCCGCGCACGAAGAGGCAGACGAGGCGGGCGCGTATGGCCCCTGGTTGAGGTTTGAGTCCCGTTGTGGCGTTTTCGATGCACTGTCTTGACTTGATCTATTTGATGACGGACTTGGCCGTGACTTTTCGTCTGTAACAAAAATACACAACAAAATTACTATTTCATTGTACTAATTGTCGTAATAAATAGGACCATTTTAACGTCTAATTTATATTATACTCTGCATATAATTCTATTTAATTAATTAGTATTACTCTAATAAAAGAGAAAAAAATAAATAACCGTTTTATACTTATCTGTATAGTGGCCCACGAGGGTTAATTACCTTGTGCGCATTTAGTAGCCGCCGTGGAGGTGGGTGTCTGGGGATTATTGAACCCAGGACTCTGTTCAAGAGAGAAGCGGCCCGCTCGCTGCTCCGCCAGCGACGAGTGAGGCTCCGGCGTGCCTGGCATCATGCTGCAACACAAGATTATACTCTTACCACATCACCAAACTGGGAAAAATTATTCAAAGTTGCTTGGAGAGTCTTTTTTGTGATATTAGAATAGCAAACAAGATAACAGTGTGTGATAATGTAATAACCCCGATACTTAGTTCTCTCTACATGTTCATACACCTTCAGATCTACGATCCATTGCTACCAAAAATTAGTCAGTCAAATGTCATTTTTAGATGAATATTTTTTTTTATGTATTCATTCAAAAGTGACTTTTGTCTGCAAGTAATATGATTAAAAAATTCACAGTTTAACAGATTAAAATTAAAATTGGGAATAACTTTTTATCCTGTGATATAAATATACATAATATGTACATACTGTATACAAATTTACCACCATTTTGTTTAATGTTAATAAAAACATTATACAAAATGGCGGTAAATTATTATTACTTTAATTACAGGTTCTTCAAAACCTACCGCAAGCTCCAGTCTCTCACGAAATTGGTCTTCATATTAAATTGTACCTCAAGTTGTTACTTTATACTACCTTTTGTGAAAAGAAAATAAACCATTCATTCATTAATTCATTCCAAATATTGTAATATAATTCCTTTTAAGAATAAATCGTTCTATTATTTTAATTAATTTACATATCTTGCCAGATATCAATTAGAAAATAATGAGTGAAGATAAACACTACGATTAATCAATACGCTCTGTTTACCATGTTTTTTAATATAAAAATCTGTCCATTGTTTGTTTTGTCTTAATTACATATATTTAACTTAATCTTACAGATATATTATTCCCACTTGTTTTAGATTATTATAAATTACTAGCCTTTACTAATAACTTAGTGCTGTGTGATTAAGATAAAAAAGGTAGCATATATCCTTGTCCATCCTATATAGTACATGTATACCAAATTCATAGTAATTGGTTAAGCCGTTAAGGCGGTGTAAGGTACCACACAAACCTACATTTTTAATATTAAGATGGATAAAATTCAATATTCTTACCCAGCAGGTGATTTTTGGTTAGAACTCGATTGTGGCGTTTGACCCCCACTATTCGACGGAGGTCCGTTGTCTTTCAACGATGTGTTCGGTTGTTTCTGTATCGTTAACTCTTGACCTATCAGAACAGAAACATTTATACCATACAATTCATCGACCAGTAATAACTAGATTCACGGTCAATTTAGACAAATAATGTTCTGAAATTGTCCAAAAATGTAACAAGTGGCAAGGAACCTATTAATATACGTTTTCGTTACAGCGCGCATAAGAAAGATTATGACGCCGGATATTTCTGCCTCGTTCTATCTTAAGTATGTAGAAGCGAAAACGTATTTATTAGGTAATTCATTTGCAACTTGTCTATGGGGTTGAAAAAGCAATTTCCGGAACGCGAAAAATGACACCACGAGCACCCATATGAGGATGCAATTTCATTAGGAACATTTTTTGTATGCAGATTGTAAACTCTGCTATTGCCGGTCGAAATACACAATATCAATAAAAAAAAAGCATCATTGACTTAGAATGAAAGAACGAATTAGCCATAGAGTATGAAGATACGTATGTTAGCACATTTTCACCAACCACCACCAAAATGAAATAAATAAAAACAGCAAAAAGATCGATTATATCAAAAAGAATAAAAAAAAAAAAATAGATTAAATGTACACTTGTAAATTTTTAAATATTAGCAATATATTAAAAAATATAAAGACACATAACCATGCAAAATTTATATACAATACAATAATGTAAAACATTAAAAGTTTAAAATATTTTGTGTGCGCAATTTTATATTCAGTAACTGAAAGATGGCCATAATGAAATTTAAGTTTTTATTAATTCTGTGTCAAAGTAAACTAGTTCATAAAAATGCCTGCATAAGTATTAGTTTAGTTCTACCAGATATTTATGACTTGGTTAATTAACTCAGAAACTAGGATCCACTTGAAATAATGTTTTGGAACTGAACTGTTGACGTAAAAATTCACAGTCGGTAATTTTTTAAAATAAGTATTAATAATAATAATAATGTGAGACTCCACTACTGATTGTATGAAATCATTAACTTTTTTTATTCATTCATTCAGTCATTTGTGATATAATATATGTATAATGTGGTCAAAATTTTGGCTTCTAATAATATATCTGTTATTAGATTTTTTTTAATTCTACTTCGTTTTATTTATTCTTTCATTACTGTCAGCTACACTTTAGTGTAAATTTAATTACATTGTGCGTGTGGCCATCTTGCAGCGCTCAATATGTAATCAAAAGCATAACAAATATTGTTAACTTTGTAAAGGCTTAACTTCGTGTACAGAAGAAATTATAGTTTAACATTAAAGCTGAGGCCACAAAATAGTAGTTTTGTAACATGCAATGTTGATGTGAAAACTGGAATAACAAAACTTCTTTGTATTAAAATAAATAATTAGATGCGATAGAAATCCTTTACATACAAGTAGTGGCGTCGAAACCTAAACGAACAGAATGTAGTCCCAGCCTAATGTCCATAATTATTTCTGTCGTCAATTTAAGCCAATTTACCTTCAAACTGGTTGAGGTAGGATATTTGCTGCGGGGACGGCACGGGCATCAAACTGGGTTCCTTTGCGTGCGACCCGCCCTGTTGGTTCTTCTGCTGTTGCGCCGCCAAACATTGTAGCGTTCGGACAAACACTCCATCGTCCAACTTCTCTAGTATTTCTTATGAGGCCAATGTTTGATCCAATATTTCAAGTTTTGTCATTGTCAAGCCACGTTTGTTTCGCAAACGATTGGCGGCGGGTCCAATTTTAGGGGCCGCAATTTTAGCGATATTTTCGTTGTTATTCATCACACGATGGGATTTCAAGCATCAAGCGTTTTGCGAGAGGGAGGGGGGAAAACAAAAAATACGCATTACAACTACAGAAAAACAAAATGGAAATAAAAAAAATGCACATCCCACCAATGGCGTTTGGTGTGACGTGTGCAGAAAATAAAAAAAAAAGAAATAAACTCTTGTGGTTGGGAAAATGTCTAACACGTAAACACAGCATGCTTATCTACTTCTATGGCTTCTAATTTCCTAGTGAAAATATTTAGACATGCGATAATTTTCCCTGTTAAACGACTTACCCAATAAGTTCATTATTTTATAATCAATTTGAAGTGTTAAAAGGACGGCTTTGTATAAAGTGTTCAAAAGTGGCAGTGCGCTTGTTAAATTTCAATTATAATCTACAAAGCGACGTTCAAGAATCCCCGCGTATCTGTAATAGGCTCTCGTATACTGGCTACCGAGTGCTTGGGAGCTTTAAATTGATTGCCTCTATATATAGCGATATATAAAGCAATTAAATAAAATTATATATTATGTATCCGATGCAAGTCAAATGACCTGACTGTGCGACGGAATGAAGGGTAATTTGTTTATTACCCTCTGTATGTATTTATGTTTATTTCTTTGTTGAGACCAAATGCGCAGACCGATTTTGATGATTATTATATCATTCGATTTGTTTTAACATTGCGAATGTGACTAAGAAAGGACAGTGATCAAAATTCAATATAGCGACAACCAATCGCCATATTGGTTCTCGCTATACTGAATTTTGATTGAATGCCAATTTTTTTTATACAACTTAGAATGGCAAACAAGCTGACGGTCCACCTGATGGAAAGTGATAACTGTCGCCTATAGACATGAACAGTACCGTGGACATAACAGAGTATACTGTTTTGCCTATGATACCCCCCCTGCGTTGCCATTCCTGAGGACTCAGGTGTTATTCTTCTTCTGTACTCAGTAAATTCACGCCAATTACATTAAGTGAGTTATCATTGAATATCAAATACCTGTGTATTTGACAAACATCTAAAGATCGGTTTTAATTATTTACAACGCCATTTTGAATTACAGTGCAACGGGCGATTTAATAACAAACTGCCATGATTTTAAAAATTACTAAAAACTGTTTATAATGTAGTTTAAATAAAGACCAAAACCGTCCTTCTAATTGGATAAAGACTAAGTGTCTTTAAGGTAGGGAACGGTGAATTAAAATAGGCAATTGTCTCACCGTGGACAAGTAGCGACGATCGAGTTGGGCGAGAGATAGACAAGTCGGTGATGATTAAAAAGGCAGGGTGTTGTTAATATAGTTTGTCAATAGGCTGTGAGGTAATGTGTGAATGGGGCGGGTTATTTCTCGTACTGCTATTACTATCAGTAGCTGATTGTCAAGTTAACAACTGACAGCGATTGTAGTTAAATTACATCATTTTTAAAATATCAAAATAAGCGATTATGAAAACAAGACATATTAATTTAATAGAAACAAACTGGAAATTAAAACGGTAAATTGTCTGGTTAAGTTGATACTAGATCTATAACTAGGCCAATAATCTTTATATTCATTCCCAGTTGTAGAATGTGAGTGGATTGTTATGATAATTATTATTAATTGAGCGACAACATATATTTTTTACGCACAATAATTAATTTTAATTTTATATAGAATTAGCACAGATTTATTTTGAAAGTAAAACCTAATATAAATAAAAAAAAATTGTGAACATACGTCGAAAAATATAGGTACACGCTTTGGTGTATTTAAGATTACTTTCCAGGGAAGCCTGCTCCTTAAAAGAGGCATACATGTAAGTACACTCAGGAATTCTTGTTCGTCTTTGAGAAATTTAGTTCGCTTTTGGGGATGGGTACCAACCATACGATTCTGCGGGACGACACTCGGCTCTCCTCACTAAATATGCTTATGGGTGCACGTCAATCATAGAAACTATCTACTTTATTCAAGTCTGTTTAAAATACAGTCGCGTCTACGTCGGCGGTGAAACAAGTGCCTAATGTTAGGATGATTCGTGTTTGTGAGAGGTACGGTATGAGTAAATAGATAAGGGTGTGGACTCACCAGGCGCTGCCGGGTCCTGCTTAGGCGGCGGCTTGCAATGCGCAGGCGACGATAGAGCAGAGGGCGCTCGAGACGCCTCCGCTGACATCGGCAACTGCACGCCGCCGTGCCCGGGCGACGCGGTCGCTGTGTACGCATACACACACACATGCTCAACCTTCGTGCCAGAGGAGATTGCTAACAAAGAGAACTAGTAGCTCCGTTGCTAGCAATAAACCCTGACAAACCACGCGGTCCCCCTGAAAACCATCGTGCTTAATTTCTGGGGATTTCGTTGCGATTGGTCAACTGACTTTACTTAATCCTCCCGTAACATGTCAGTAAGTTTTTTTTTTTTTTTATGTAACATACATACATTCAAAAACATACATACATTGTTTGTATTTTATTTCAAAATGAAAAAAGTTGAAGCCGTGTATATATATATATATGTATATATATATATATATATATATATATATATATATATATATATATATATATATATATATATATATATATATATAATTATTAAAAACACATTATCCTTAATATAGATTGTATCTTTTGCTGAAAGGAAACATTCTTTGAGATTCTACCGACATACGACTCGCCCCGGCTTCGCACGGGTGCACACTACATCTCATCACATTAGAAATCTCTAAAATTATCATTTTTTCTCTATTACATTATACATATAAACCTTTCTCTTGAATCACTCTATCTATTAAAAAAAAACCACTTCAAAATCCGTTGCGTAATTTTAAAGATTTAAACATACATAGGGACGGACAGACAGCTACAGCGACTTTATTATATACTATGTAGTGATTTGATATCAGTACACACCAATAGGTACTGAGGCGGATCTGTGTAAAGGTGAGGCACCGTACGGCGGCGGCGGTAAACAACCGCCCCGCTCTGAGCACGGAGATTTCACTTGTGTACCTGTAACAAGTTAATTTTTAAAATGAGTACAATGTTTTTTGTACCTTTTACACAAGTCAATTTAAAAACTTCGTCAGTATATAGTATAATTTTACCGCCTTATTCATAAAATCTAAAACCTACTAAAAACTTCTTTAATCTATTGAACTGTTTTGTCACTTTCTATCAAATTGGGAATTTAGCATAAAAGAGAGAGATAAGATGGTTCAATAACTAAAATGGGTTTATGAAACGTTTGACGTTTATATGACTAAGTGCGTTATTACTTTACACATATAAGGGCTAGTGTTACATTCACCGTATTGTTTATTTTATGGTGATAGGACGGTTTATTGGTGATGGAAATAGATGGCGTCATTGCTAGCATTAGCAATGTAGTTCTAATAGGGCTATTTCCACATGGTTTCCCCTAGAAACCATCGTGGTTAATCCCTACTGAATATATTAGGCTGGATCAGCTGATTTCAATATCCTTCACTAGTATCCCTATAAAATGTATGAATATCTCAGACGAGATTACCATTCCATATTTATTTATAAAAATATATGTATATATGTTTTTCTTTGATATTGTAAAATTATTTTTATATAGTTTTTTCTCAAACATGCTTGGAAATATAAGCATTATTTTGACAAACTCATATTTGTCCTGTAATTTAAAAATGGAATGACCTTTTACTTCGAAACATAGCTACCAAGGAGGTAACTAATAAACGGTTTTATTTAAATTTCGAACAGGCTTGCAAATAAAAAACTATTTATTGAAAAAAAAAACAAAGAAACATTATGGCGCCTGAAAAATTATTATTGTTCGTTATTCGTTATTGAACTTAAAAAGTAAAATTGTGTTTTTAATTTCCGCGCATTTGAGAGAAGTACTATACAAGCCTTAGCCACAACTAGGCATTGATGGATTCACGTATGTGTGCCTCGGCTACGCCTCGGCCCACATTTGCACGTTCCTCCATCAATGCCTCAGTTGCTGGCCGCTGCAATAATGTACTATTGTCCACTGTTTGTTGACCTAAATAAAAAGAGGAAAAATGAGCTCTTAAAAAATAAATAAAAAAATAAGCGTAGCAACTGACCGAGTTCAGCGTCCATGGACTTGGGGTCGTCGAAGAACTGGTGGTGCAGCTTCTGCCAGTCGATGTCGGCGGCGGGCGCGGGGCTCTTGGGGCTGCGCAGGCCGCGCGCCGCGCCCGCCGCGCCCGCGCCCAGCCCGCCCGGGCCCAGCCCGCCCGGGTCGCCCGGGCCCATCTGCGTGTAGTGGACACGTATTACAAACTCTATACTCGATGCGCAACATCCTCACTTCCGCCCATCTCCAAATAGTTATCGTCGTAATAATTCGTGGCCTGTGGTATTCCACTGCTGGGCAAACCCCTCCCCTTATTTCCCACATCGTCCGAAACCGTTTGTGATAATCAAAGTAGTAGGTAAAAAAATAATAATTTTAAATTAAATAGTTGAACCCCTCCAGAACTTTATTAATCATAGAATCATCACGATTGTATTAATATACTAAAAGTTAAAATTGTTCATTCCACGATACAGAAAATCTTAAAAATAAAAAAAAAAAAAAAACTTAGTTTCCCGTTGACTATGCAAAAATATCTAACTTTCTTCTATTGCCAATAAACGATCCATTTGCAATAAAACAATAGTGTTGTCAAACAAAACAAAATCTAAGCCTTAAGAAATAGTAATAGAGAAATCTCTAATGATGTTCATAAAGCTGTTCATTTTTATAGACAGTAATTAACAGTAACTCATTTGAACCAATTTCAATAAAAAAAATTCATATTGGAAAAATTTGCTTATAGGGGAAAAAGGAGTATAAAGATACCGTTTGGAAAATATTTTTACTTATTTTTTTGCACTAACTAAGCCGAGTAGAATAAAGAATGTTGCTTATAGAGAGAATACTTATATAGAGCGTTCACTGTACTATCAATTAATAAATGAAGTTAACAAGCATACGTACGTTCCGACCGCGGCCGTATTCGTCGCACATGGGACCGTTGGGTAACGAGTGGTGGTCACCACACTCCCCATGCACCATGCCGCCCATCATACCGTCCATCATTATACCACCTGCAACAAGTATACGCAATTATAATATAATCTGTTTCAGACTGAATGTTTAGATATAGTAGTGAAATTACAACATACGGTGGCATAACAAATTAGTCATCAGGAATGCAACCCATGAGGGATACCATGGGGGTAGTATCACCCTTGAAGGAGGAGGCCTGACATTCAAAGAGTGCCTAGGACCACTCAATAACAAAGGTTCATATTAAAATTTGACATTGGCATTTGACTAAACAACGCAACTCAGTTGCCAAGAGAAACTGTCCAATGAAAGGCATTCGAATACTGGCAATACTGCTTGCTCACTCGACACCTTCCGATGGTTCATTTTTCAAAGTGATCGTGAAAAGTTACCCAGGGGCGCCAAATAAGTTACGACTGACCTGCACTGTTAATTAGAAAGGACTGGTTTGGCAGAAGGCTAAGTAAAATGATGACAAATTGGCCCTGCTGTGTATCAGTATATTCTATGGTGTTCAGATATACTGATTAACGAAATGATTTATAAAATTCTGTATATAGCGAAAATTTCGACTTACCATTCATCGCGTTAATATTAGGCCCTGGCATCATTCTGGGTCCCATATGTGGTCCACCCATCATGCATGGTTTAGGCCCTCCCATACCACCCATTGGATTAGGCATTCGCTGCAAATGCACAAAGTCAATTGTTATAATGTATAATATTAAAAAATATAATAACCTATAATGATGAATGAATAAATATTGTTATATTAATTATGTTATTATGTGTAATTGTTATAATACACAGATAACAATAAAGCAATATAAACTGCACATTAAAACTTATTAGAATTATAATTAAAGTAAAATTATTTGCAAACTACAGTCTGTGTGTGTGTGTGTGTGTGTGTGTATAAGTAAATGTGTGTGATATATATATAACACTCCTAAATGAATAACTTACCCCCATAGGGCCTCCACAACCTCTTCCCATGTGCATATCTGTACACATTCCACCTTTCATATCTGGGCCTCCACAAGCTCCTCTAATTCCTTTCATTCCACAAGGCCCTAAAGGACCCATAGGCCCATTCGGTCCCATTCCTGGCATCATTGGACCGTTTGGTCCCATCATTCCATTAGGCCCCATAGATCCGTGTCCACCCATACCCATGCCACCTGGACCACCCATTCCTCCCATTGGGCCGCCCATAGGACCGTTGGGTCCCATAGGACCACCGGGGCCCATTGGCCCAGGTCCCATGGGTCCACTAGGTCCCATCGGGCCGGCCATGCTACAGCTCGGGCCAGAGTTCATGCTATTCGGCATTGACACCATTGGTCCGTTAGGTCCGGAGCCCATGGGTCCATTTGGACCCATACCAGACATAGGCGGAAAAGGCATGTTCATGTTGCCAGCTGAGTTTGGGGGGTTAACTTCGTTGGAAGGTTGCGTGCCATCGCCTGGGCCTTGATTGGCACTGCTGCCACCACTCTCGGGGAACAACATCTGTTGCATCTTACGAATAGTCGCAAGCTGTTCCTCCCGGTGTGCACGCTGTTGAGGCGTTAAGTTTTCATCTGGTATCTTAACACCTATAAAGAAAGATAAGAAACATGAAGTACCTAGTATCTGATTAGTGAAACTTAGAAAATAAAGACCTTTACCTCTGTAACATCATTTTTGTATAATGTAGTTTGTCCTTAATCTAACCTATGCCATATGTTTAAATAAGTCACTTGAAAAAGGTACATAGTAAATAGTTGTTGAAACTAACAGCAGATACGTGTTCCTTACAGCGTGAATGGGAAAAAACAAAACCTTTGATGTCGCGGTCTTGTTCACTCATACAGTAGTTAGTAAAAATGAAAACATATGAATCAATGAATAGCATTATATTTTATAGCAGCACAGGATATTGTGCGATTTTATCATAACGATATGGCAAGTTTATTCTGGGTCAGAGCGAGACGGTAGATGAGGTCGAAGTTAAGCACCCTGTTATGACAAGTTTACTAGGAATTAGTCATGATAGCGTGTGGACCGTTGGTCCGGGGCGGTGCGTCAGGTTACCTTTGGGCCCCTGCTGGCAGGGCGCATCGGCGGGCGGCGCGTCCTGCGGCGGCGCGTCGGCCGCCTCCGAGCAGGCGGGCAGCCCGGCGCCGCCCGGCCCGCCGCCGCCGCCGCCGCCCACGCCGCTCACGCCGCCCACGCCGCCGACACCGCCACCATTGGCCATGCCGTTCGACATTACTGAGGGGTTTTTCTGCGGAACCAACCGTAATATTCTTTACATACTGATATGCAATATATCAATAGGTCTAATATGTAAATTTATATTTAAATATGAGGTATAAGGATTTTAAACAAACATCTACACTATAACATGCAATTTCAACAAAATCGTCAACATATAATATTATGGATTGACCAAAAAATTCAGTTGAGTCATTTTGAGCTACATTAAAAAAAGAAACAAAAAGTACTTACGGTGTCCCAGGGCATTTCACCATCAGCACCGATGCCGTCCATGACACCACAGGACGGGGTGCCCCCTGGAAACCCATCCATGGGGCCCATCCCCGGACCCATTTGGCCCATGGGACCGGGGCCTCCCTTCATCATCATCATTTGGTTTCCGGGACCGCCCATCCTATTAGGACCCATCATATTAGGCCCCATATGGCCCATTCCGCCGTGACCCATTGGTCCCATGTTGGGGCCCATGGGCCCGCCCATCATGTGTCCCATTTGATTAGGCCCTCCCATCATATTGGGACCACCACGCATGCCTGCCCTTTTCGCCATGGCCATATTATTAAGCCATTGCGCAGGGCTCTGTTTGTTAAACTGACCCATTTTAAGGGGATGTTTCTGTAAATATATTTAAATTAATTAATATAAGCTTTATTAATTTATACAGTTAAATATTTTTAACTAAATAAATAACAATATAGCATCAGTGTAGAAGCTTTAACTATATAAATAAACATAACTATTATTTTGTTTCGTTAGCATTTTTTTAATAGTGGCTCTACACAATATAAGCGAATGAAATAGTATAAATTTGTATACATGTAACTCGTACCTCCAGATATTTCTTAGTGCCTGGTTGAGCGCAATGATACGCTATTATAGAGTGATGCTGTCCAGAAATCACCGCCTCGGCGCCTTTGTTGGCCAGTAACGTTGAGAAAACGAAGATCTGGCTTTGCTGCTGGGATAAAACAGGATGATTTTAGTACATCTTCTCTCAGTATATAAAAAAAGTTGTAAATGTACATAAATAATGCACAAATACTCATAATAGTCATAGCATCGATGGTATACCATTTTTTTATGAAACAGAATAATCTGCTAATATCTATTTTCATTATATTACAATAAATAGAATTTTTATTAAAAGGATAAAATCTTTAATATCAGGCTCAATAATTGTACTGTATCTCAAAATAATATTAAGAATTATAATAATATTAGAATTACTGGAAAAGTTGAATAAGATTAAATTATTAAGTATGGTAATTTATTGAAATAAAAATATTTTTGATTTTTTCTAGGCTCTTTTATTTTAGAATTTATTTTGCAGTATATAATAACAAAGGAAAATTATAATCAAAGATGTGTTAAATCGAAATGTATTTTAAATTAATTAGTTAAAGTTAATATCATTGACTATGATAAGATTTGCGCATATTTTAAACTTTATTCGCCAATGTTACCTCCATGCTGCCTGCCTGTTTGCTGATGACATTAGATGGAAGAGTCTGCGCTTCACTGGCGGACATTGGCCCCATAGATACGCCTGGTCCCATTGGACCCCCACCGCCCCCCATGCGACACGACCCCATGCTCTCTGGTCCTACGTTTGGGTTTCGGCAATTTTGGTTTCCATCCTAACAGTTAAAAAACAATATTTAGTATATTTATAATATATTACTTTATATAATGATTTAATGCATCGTTTGTATAAATAATCTATACAAAAACCCACTCCATTATCATCCGTAAACAAAGAATTATTATGTGTAATAATAAAGGATTACCTGTATATTGCCAGCTGATCCACGTAGACCAGTCTGAGGATCCAATATGTCATTGGAGTCTGATGAAAGGCGTTCTGACTTCAATGATCCAGGGCCTCCTAAGTCGCAAGAAGGTGATTTTGTGGGGTCGCCTGAATGAGGAACTGTGATTAAAATAAATTTTAGAATCGAAAATAAAAAAAACCTTTAGTTGCGTATAATATAGGAACATAAAAATATTGCCATAAAATCCCCTGAATTTTATATCTTATAACGCGATTAATAAGGTGCACATATTATTTTTTACAGATATGAATAGGGTTTGTCTAGAATATCATAAAAAGTAACTAATTCAATATTATAATATGCAAAAATAAATTTCATATTGAAATCAATTCATCAACTTTTGACACAGACTGTACCTAGGCTACCGTCAGCAACTAGTATATGGAGAATAGAAGTAAGGTGAAATATACTTGTGTGTGAAAAACTGTTCCGTCCTTCAAAAGTTAGGGTGGCGCTACAGTAAAAGGTAGGTAGGTAGGTAGTAGTAGTACAAGTAGGTAATTTTTAAATGAAGCATCAAAAATACTATTTAGTATTATATACTACTTTAGTTTTATATACTACAGTTTCATAAACTACAATAGTCATCAAAAATATATTTTTTTTTCAATGGAGTGCATTTTAATCCATTGACAACTGCTAAATTCATTTCTTGCTACACTAGCGCCATTTTGATTTGAAACTGTCACATACAGTTTGCAGCCGGATACTTGCTACTGTCACCCATACGAGAGAGTTCTTCTTATCACTACCCTCCATAATCTAGTAGCTATAGGTGCCAAACATTTGCTCACTCACATAGTACAAAGTAATAGTAGTAACATTATAACATACATTGTTGTTATCTGAAGATATATAAACCTTGGCAATGTATAACTCGCAAATTAGCAAGAAATATAATTTTGTACAGATGAACTAGTTTGTTTTTTACTTATTTATTTTACTAAAAGTTAAAGTTTAAGAAATTATATGGATATTTATTTCTCAATCAAACATAAATCAACGGAATGAGATGAAAATGTAAATGGGCACAAGTATAACTGACGAGACATTGACGGACAATGTTAGGGGACAACCACTTTTATCCCAATATTTTTTTTATGATTACTTTTTTTTATGCAACTTAGAATGGCAAACAAGCTGACGGCCCACCTATTGGAAAGTAGTAACTGTTGTCTATAGACACGAGCAGTACCATAAACATAACAAAGTATTCTGTTTCGCCCATGATGAACGCATGGGAGGCGATGCCATTCCTGAAGACTCAGGTGTTATTTCTCTGTACCCTGTAAATTCACTGCCATATCCCATCCTTCAAACCGAAACACAGTAATGCAAATATAATTGCTTCATGGTAGAAACCCGAATGCGACAGAGGTGCCCAAGCAAACAACTTTTGTACAAAGTCTCCCTCTGGTGAAATTGGTGATTACTTAGAATGACGAACAAACTGCAGGTGTACCTGATGGAAAGTGGCATCCGGCGCCAATAGGCATGTACAGTGCAAAAGATAATAGGATACACTGTAATGCGATGATTATGGTATTCCTTGTGTGATGCCATTCTATAGATTATGCTATTATGCCTCCGTGCTCAGATATAGATCATTTATTCATAAGTTACAAAATTACAAGTCCAGTTTCAATTAATTATGTCATTCCCATAGCAAGTTTGTTATATTTTATTCTAATTTCGATAATATAGCGTTTTCTATATAATAGTAATAATGTTTAAAAGTAATATTAATTTATAATAATAATAATAATAATCATGTCACTGCAAGTTGCTATTACATTAATAAAATTCAGCATTAGAGATTATTTATATTTTAAGAATTCTTCAACAAATAGTAATCCTTCTCGATAAGCCTGTCTTTCAGTTTCTTTTTAAATGAATTTAGACTGCTTGTTCTCTGTAATTTAACTATGCTTTAAGCCTATATACAGCCAGCCATGTAAGTACTTAACGGTAGAAACATTACTAGGAAAGTGGTGTTTCTGTATGGGGAGCCATGCAGATGAGTTTTACAAAGTCCTCCTCTGGTCATATTTTCACGCCAGATATGATACACACATAGATGTCATACAAAAGTATGGGACCAGTTCATTCTATTCTTTCACTATGCTTTTGGTGCAATAAAGAGTTAAATAAATAAATATGGCCAACATGATGGAAGATAGTAAATATTGTCTATAGATTTGAACAATACAGATCTTACTTTCTACAGTGACGGCCATGGTACTTCTCATGAGTTGCCCCTATTGCTTTTCAGATTGAAATACAACAAAGTATCAGTACCATACACAAAGCACAAATAAGTAAGGTAGGTCGTAGTTTAAATTTTATGTGACTCATCTGGTTTTCCCCGAATACAATTTTGTGGTAATTAAAATAACGGCACAGCACAGCCTAGCTTGTTTTTTAACATCTCACAATACCATTCTAATATTTGCCATCTGACAATAATGGACGGTAATTGTTTCGCATAAAGCGTAGCTTTTAGATGTAGATATTAACAGATCCTGGTATGAATGGGTATTGACGTAGTATTTTTTATTCTAATGACCTGTTGGTCATGGTCGCTGGCCAGTTAACTGCCTTTTTCTTTTCAATAAATATAATGACAATATAGAATAGTTCAACTTTTGAAAACAGAACAATCAGTTTTCTTCTTGTGGTGATGAAGTAAGAAAACAATGTGTCTGTTTTCCAGCTGTGCTCCTGGTATGGTAGGTAGGTTTAGGAAATAATAAACAATATGTCACAATGCGAGTCACACGAACACCCGCCAGGACGTCACCCAGAGGAGTGCTGGAGCGGGGGGCTTGCAGTCTAAACTTTAATGAGTACATCACAGTAACTATGGATATGTGATATGTGCCCGCACACACCATGGGGACCCTGAATTTTCATTAAAACCCGATTATTGTGTTATAAGCAGTTATGTTTAATTGACTGGTTAATTAAACATAATGGCTTACTATGATGACGAACCAATTGTCTAGACCTTCCTCTCTCTGCCCCCATTCCTCATCCCAAAAGCCACGGCACTATGTCACAAAATTTATAGCATATTGTACTCACCATCGCTGTCCATGAGGCCATCAATTTCAGTCTTGATCCCGTCGACTGCCAATTCAGCAGTGGAGTCCTCACCACCAGACTGGCTGTGAGGCTCCATTTTGACCCTGTGCTCGTCTGGTTCCTTCTTCAGCGCAGCCGGGGTCGGTAGCGAGGCTGAAGGTGGACGAGATCCATGGCCTGAACATTATTTATTTATTTATTTACACATTATTAAAAATAGTAAATACATTTAATTGTAAATATTATTTACACAAATTCACAACTTCCCCTCTATTATTAATATATTAAGATTATACGTAAAAACCTCTAATCGTAACAAAATTTATATATTATAGGACCAACATAAGAGTAATATTTATAGTAAACTAGCTTTTACCAGCGACTTCGTCCTCGTGATCGAGATATGTTTACTGACCGAGATAAAAAGTAACTCCTGCATCCCGTATAATAGGTATATACCAAATTCCATAATATTTAAAACACTATAAGGTAACAAACAAATAAACACACTTTCACATTTATAATATTAGTAAGGATTGTTGCTATGATAGTTAAAGCGGCGGGAGAACCATTCGTGTAGAAAGGTTTTAATATCTAAATAACACTTTTGTATGTTTGTACTGTCATCATGCAAAAACTTTGTTGTTGCATTCCTTACGGTCGAGTTAAAAATTAAATGTATATATAAAATATACACCAGATTTTATGCACTATCTAGAAGTGTTCTAATACGCACACGAAGTTGTGGGTAAAAGCCAGATGATGATAATAATATAATAACAAACAAACATTTTTCTAACTCGATAAACTAATAAAATTTAACGCGATAAGGTGTTTACATATTGATACATGTGACTGTACAAGGCTAAAATCAGCAATTAGAACATGAGATGGTAAATAAATATAATGAGGGCGGCCTTCTTCAGGGAATTTGTTTTAAAATATTCCGCTCATAGCTTTTCTAGTAAGATAATTAATTATAAATCCTGATATATAAAAATCCTATGTCACGATGTTTGTTCGCGCTAATTTTTGAAACCGATCAACTGATTTTAATAAATTTATATAAAATAAAAATTACATAAAATACTAGCGGCCCGTCCCGTCTTCGCACGGGTGGACATTTTTACATTTTAAAAAGTGGCCATTAAGGCTGCACACGCGACGGAAGCTTAAAAATGGAGCAACTTCTCCCGTTTTCCCAAAATTTCCCTTCACTGCTCTGCTCCTATTGATCGTAGCGTGATGAAAATAATACTATAACCTGCCCAGGAGTATGAAGAATAATTGTACCAAGTTTCGTTAAAATCCGTCGAGTAGTTTTTGTTTCTATAACGAACATACAGATAGAAAGACAGAGAAAATTTTACTGATTGCATTTTTGGCATCAGTATTGATCACTAATCACCCCTTGATAGTTATTTTGGAAATAAATTTCATGTACAGTATTGACCTCTCTACAGATTTATTATAAGTGTAGTAAGTATAGATAGAAGATTAAATATCTTGATAAAAGAAAATTAACCCAGTGAGAATGAAACGTTTCCCGGATTAACTAGTGGACTAATATATTTTTTTTATAACAGCAATAAACGAGCATGCGACTCACCTGATGGGGGAGGGGATTGTTAGTAATGTGGATTACCGCTCCCATTGCTAGCAATGTACCCTAAGGTGGTCCCACCTGGAAACCATCGTGATGAATTCCAGGTGTATTCATCATGATAGGCTAACTGACCTGCCTTTTCATTCTCACGTATCATCCTTCACTGGTGCCCCATCAGTATATACCGTTAGTACAGGCGGGGTTACCATTCCATTATCATCCATAAAAAAAAAAAAACTCACCCGTAAAATGTGTTGCCGGTAGTTTAGAAAGGAATATGCTACCTCCGATAAAGTACCGCCTAATATTGTTTTTTTTTTTATTTAACTTGAAATGGCGAGCAAGCTAACAGCCTACTTAATGGCGAGTTGTAGTATTCACCTATAGACATGAGTAGCACCATAAAAAAGTGAGAGTAACATTAACAGTTTTGTTTTTTTTTTATTTTGATGAGAATTGATTGAATTGAGAATTGCAATACCTACCTTGAGGATTGCAATAAACTAAGTACGTATTTTAAATAATGAATTAAGTCACAAGTAAATTAAAATTATTAAATATTGAATTATTAAACTTAAAAACTGGTACTAACTAAATAGATTCCATATACTCCCTGGTATAGCCAACTTATTTTTACCGGAAAATTAGCACAAACGTCTGCTTGGGTTAACCTATTAAGCAAGCAGACGTTTCCTCTGTATCAGAAGTATTTCTGTTACTAAAAATTTCTGATTACACGTTTTACTTTTAAAAGTGAAATAATAGCAGTGACAGTGGGTACCGAGACAAGACCATAATCTTTAGTAATGGATACTGTAGCGATTAATTCCGCTACCTCTTTTTAGCCGCGCCAACAATTTTGTCGAGGTGTATTAAATGCATATGTTATCGGTTTGTGATCAGTAATAATTGACAAAGGCCTTGCTTCTACCATAAATCGAAAATAGCGAATGGCTTCATAAATGGCCAGCAGTTCACGATCATAGGAACTATATTTCTTTTGCGATGAATTTAACTTTCGCGAAAAAAAAAAGCAAGTGGCTGTGTTCCCGTTTAAAATCTTTACCGTTGCGTTGTTGTAGAACTGCTCCTATCGCAGAATCTGAAGCATCGGTTTGGATAACCAAATCTGCATTCATATTAGGATGTACGAGAAGGCCATGGGCGTCAGAGTGTATGTGTGTCTGTGATGTCCACAGTGCTATTCTAAAGGTGGCGATTATATCATTTAATCATGTGGCCTACATGATGAAAAATGTGCCAGTTGTTTACAATTCAAAGTTCCATAAAAATATCATTGTTTATAAACATATATTTAGGATGGTTATTTCTGTGACTCGTGAACGGAATAATAGATTGCAAAGCGGTTTTTATTTAAACAGCTGGTTTTATTAAGATAGTTTAATGGTAATTTGTGTAACAGTCCCTATATTGTATTTATCAGGTCTATAAAATAAAAAAAAAATTATCATAAAAAACCAAACTTATACATACATAGATATCTGTCTCCCATTAGGGTAGGCAGAGACAATGGAACGCCAAATGTTTCGATTCAAACAAACCTCTTACGCATCTTCCACATTCATCAATATTTTCATACACGCGTGCCCGTTACAGGTTCCTTTAATTTTGACCCTTCTTCAGTACGTCGCCTATTTGGTCAACACACGTCGGTCTAGGGCAGCCCCTATCGACATCTCCATTCATTATTGCTCGATAAATTTCTTTCGTAATTCTTCTCGAAATGACCAAAGCAACGGAACATTTCCATTTTTTTCGAGCACAACAGATAAAATTGCGTTACGCAAGAACGGTCTAATAATTTATGCATAGGTATGTTAGAATTAACAGTAGAGAAGTTTATACTAGTTTCTTTGAAATTATTGGTAATAATAATAAATGAGATGAATAGATTACATGCATCGCTGAGACATACGCAGTTTTGCTTTCACCATTAATTTCATTGCATGGTGAGAAATTGATTAATGGTTGTATGAATATTTTTTTAAATATGTATTCACCCGATTCAAAATTTGTCAATTTTACATATATTATGATGATATGGCAGTGAATGTAGAGACTAACCTCCCCATTACTAACAAACCCTTCCTCCTATTAAAGGGGAAAGGGATTGTTAGGAATGGAGATTGACACCCCTATTGTTAGCAATATACCCTATTAGGTCGACCTCCACGTGGTTCCCCTGGAAACCATAGTGAACAATTCTTATTGAATTCGTCACGATGGGCTAACTGACTTGCTTCATCCTCATCTATCATCCTTCACTGGTGCCCCGCCGGTGTATATCGATAGCGCGGGTGGGGTTACCATTCCATTATCACCCATTAAAAAAAACCTTCCTCCTTAGAGACAGAAGTTGGTCAGAGCTGGCCTTTTAGCTTATTTAAGACAAATCTTTGATGGTAGCCGAAAAAAAACATTGGAGGTGTGAGTGAACAGTTAGTGCTACCACTAAGTTGCGGGATTTTCTTCTAGCAGCATTTGATGTAATTCCTTGCGTACTCTTAGTTCCTTTTAGGTCTCAACGGGCTTGGTCTGCGCATGCCCCCACCCCCTCCCCTTCTTAAAGCCAATACAGTAGTCTTGTAACAATTTGAAAACAATATTTATGCTCACCAGGCTCAGCAGGATCGTTGGGTTCGTCCTTGAGGCGGGCGCCTCCGCCCTTCTCCTTCTCCTTGATCATACCCCTGCGTGCCTTCGCCAACTTGACTGTATTACAATAAACATTGTGTTTAATATAGCAAATATGAATTGTAATACTGTTATTACTAATTATGTGACAGGTGGCGCCCTCTGTCACCATATAACTTTTAGAAACCTTAATAGACATGACAGTTGGGAATTATTTTTATCTTTCTAATTTCAATAAATAAGTAGGACATACTCACTTGTTTACTAAAAATATGTAAACCATTAGATGGATTCCAATTTTTTATTGGAGTTTCTAATGAAAATATAAAAATAAGTGTGAATAAATGAAAATTAAAATATTTAAAAATAATGTACCATAAAAACAATAACAGTGATCCCAAAAATTATCTACATTTTAACAACTATGTGCTATAACATTTTCCACATAATAATACATAATGTTATAAAGCATAGGCATAAAGCATGGTTTCCTAATATATAAAACAAAAAAAAAATCTGTTTCCTGATGGTGTTATTTAAGGTTTGATATTGACTTAATTTTTTTTTTATTTTTAATTGAAGGCTAAATTATGTTAGTGTTTATTTTAACACTTGTTTTTTTTTTTATTATTATTTTTTCATTTACACGATATATAATATGAAATAAGAATAATACAAAAAAGAAACTATCTGTTTAATATTTGTGTTTATAATGTACTCTGTTTTAATTTACCTTTACCTTATATTTTCTTAATTTTTTTAATACTGTACATTAACTTATCACTTGGTACTAAGCGTACTATTCTTTTTATTTTTTTTAGGGTATACTAATTTTCTTCTCATTATCTAAAATTATTTTAATTTACCCTACATGCATACAATTGTAATTGATGTTTTTAATTGTCACTATAGTATTGACATCTGAACTGTTGTCACTGTCAAAGTCACTAATAATAATTATGGCACTTTAGCATTTTGTTTCTGTACAACACTAGTTTCTAATAGCTATTATTGTTCGAGATTAGACTGGATACCCACTATTCTTAAACTTTAGTTATTATTATATTGTATATAATTTTTATTTTATATTTACATACATTCATATAAAATAAAAATAAGAATAAGCAATAACAATGAAACACCAAATGCTACCGATTCAAACAAACCTCTTTCTATTTTCTATTTATATTATATTTTTTATTTTATTGAAATTTGGTTGTATTATGTGTCTAAGTTATTTCTTAGATTCATTTTATATTAACTACATACAGCTACTCTGTTTGTTATAAGTTCAGTCTATCTAGCCAACCTACACAATTAAGGTAAAAGTAATTAATTTTTATTATTGATATTACAAATTAAATCAATATAATTATTACATTGATTTAATATAATTACACAATATAATTACACAATCAATATAATTACACAAATAGACATCTTCATAAAAAAATTAACAGTAAGGTACATTACCTGAATAACTTATTACATACATTGACATGTCGTCATAGTGACATTTTGACATTTTTTGATACTAATAGTTTTATTAGTGATTTTTATTTGACAAAAGATACAATGTATCTTTCTAAATCATCTAAAAATAAAATAGCCACTTTAGTGGCTTATAATATTGACTACATGAACAGTTTACATGGTAAACTTAAACATAAAAATGCTGACATAACAGATAATTCTATTAATATTTGTGACATAAGTACTATGACTGCAGATTTAAACTGCTCACAAAGACAAAGGGAAAGCAATCAGAATTAATAATTGTTCATCAGAACATACAAAGTTTTCCATTATACAATTATTTTTAGAAAAGTATAATATTGATATTGTCCGTTTCACAGAACATTGGCTTAAAGAAAGCAATATGATGTTCAATTTAAATAATTATAACGTTGTCAGCTGCTTCAATAGAAAGTCAGTTAACAGAGGCGGGTCTATGATAATTGCAAGAAATAATATTAAAGTAAAGGAACGTGCTGACATTGTTAGACTTTCTATTGAGTGTTGTATAGAATTATCTTGTATAGAACTAGAAAATTATATCCTTATATGTGTGTACAGGCCTCCTAATAGTGATTACAATGTTTTTGAAGGGGTGATGGAGGATATTTTAAAAAAAGTATTTAATAGTATTAAAAAAATTATTGTATGTGGAGATTTTAACGTTGATATTCTTTGTAACACACCCACATGTACAAAAATTATTAGTTTATTTCAGTCATTTGATTTATGTCATGTCTTTCATGAACCCACTCGTGTAACTGCCACGTCTGCTACTTGTCTTGACAATGTTTTTTGTAACTGCGAGTATACAGAAAAATTCATAATAAATAAACTTCCTTCAGATCACTGTGGTCAAGTTGTTAAGTTTAGCAGTCAAATCAATAAAGTCAACAATAATAAAAAATCAAAAAGACAAATAAACGTTTACAATATTAATAAATACAAAAGCGCGATTAAAAATAAATTGGATTTGCTGTTACAATCTAGTAATAATCCTGATTATCTTTACACCAAGCTAATTAATATTTTATCCGGAGAATATGAACAATTTTTCAAGAAAAAAAGAAGTTCATGTTAAATCTAAATTCACGGAATGGGCAACAGTAGGAATACTTAAAAGTAGAAATATTTTGTTTGATTTATACGATCAAAAAAATATCGATTTGATGACAAATTCACCACTTATGTAAAAAATTATTCTAAAATTTTTAAAAAAGTTTGTATTATGGCTAAGTCTAATTATTTTAATAAACAAATTAAGCAGTCTTCTGACAAAATTAAAACCATCTGGAGCATTATAAATAAAGAAACTGGAAGATCTAAAATAGCCTGTAATCAATTTACATTAAATTATGATAATAAATTAATAACAACAACAAAAGATGTAGTTAATATTTTTGAAGATTTTTTTGCTAATATTCCGATTGATATTACATCTTCTCTGGACTCATCTCAATCTCGAGCAAAAAAATTACTAGAGACTAATATCGGTTGTTGTTCTTTAAGATTTAAATTTTCACATGTTAGCCCCTTTCATATCATAAAAATATTCAAACAGCTAAATTTAAAAAATACGGAAGACCTTTGGGGCATGTCTGTAAAAGTAGTTAGTTCTTTCATAGATATTGTTGCTCCATATCTAGCCACTATTTTTAATAAATGTATTGATAATGGCGTTTTTCCATTTAATGAAATTTAGCAAATTAATCCCACTATTTAAATCAGGAGATAAATTTGAGCCAGGGAACTATAGACCTATATCTATTTTGCCAGTTCTAAGTAAGGTGTTTGAAAAGATAATGTTAAATCAAATGTTACATCACTTCAGGGTTAACGGACTGCTTCACAGTCAGCAATATGGTTTCACCGCCGGCAAGTCTACCACTGACGCAGGTGTTGCGCTAATGACACATATTTTCGAATCTTGGGAGAGGTCACAGGATGCACTCGGAGTTTTTTGTGACCTATCAAAGGCATTTGATTGTGTGGATCATAAAACGCTTTTGTACAAGCTCGAACATTATGGTATAAGAGATAATGATCTAAAATTAATGAGAACTTATTTAGAGGATAGGGTTCAAACTGTAGATATTGACGGTGTAAAATCTAAGGGAGCTAATATTAAGATGGGCGTTCCACAAGGGTCAATCTTAGGCCCCTTTCTCTTTTTAATCTACATAAATGACCTTCCCTTTATGGTAGAGAAAATTGCAGATATAGTGCTGTTTGCGGATGATACTTCGTTAGTGTTTAAAATTGGACGTCAAAGTAATCAATTAGACGATGTAAATTGTGCTATGTCTGCAATATTAAATTGGTTTACATGTAATAACCTATTATTAAATTCCAGCAAAACAAAGTGTATAAAATTTACACTTCCTAATGTAAGACTAATAAATACACAGTTATTGCTTAATGACGAAATAGTAAATTTTGTTAATGATACAGTTTTTTTAGGTATAACAGTGGACTCGAAATTACAATGGGGGCCCCATATTTCAAAATTGGCCAGTAGACTCAGTTCTGCTGCATATGCAATTAGAAGAATTAGGCAATTAACAGACGTGGCGAGCTAAACTTGTATATTTTAGTTATTTCCATAGCATAATGTCTTATGGCATACTGCTGTGGGGTAAAGCAGCCGATATAAATACTATATTTGTTTTACAAAAGAGAGCCATACGTTCTATTTATGGTATGGGTTCAAGAGAGTCATTACGTCAGTGCTTTAAAGACTCAAATATCCTCACAGTTACTTCACAATACATTTATGAAAATATTATGTATACACGGAAGAACTTAGCGAGTTTTAAAAAACTCAAAGACTGTACAAGTAGAAACTTACGCAATATAAATAAGCTTATTTTACCTAAATGCCGTCTGCACAAAATCAGTAATTCATTCTATGGTAATTGCATAAGATTTTATAATAAACTGCCGGAATCTGCATTAAATCTGACAGAGAGGCAATTCAAATCTTATATTAAACAATTTTTATGTAAGAAAGCCTATTACAGGATAGACGAATTCATAGATGACAACATATCAAGTAAATAATTAGTTTATTAGCATACAACGTTATAATTTTTTTTTCTCATTGCTTTCTTGATTTAATTGATTAATTTTAGAAATATGAAAGCGTAGCGGTTTTTTGTATTAATTGCCGCATGCATTCTTATGTAAAATGTGAATACTATAACTATCAGATGGCAATTGTGAGTAGCTTTGACGTGGTCTAGTGTTTTGAGTAGTCATGCTCACTAAAATGTCCAGACTTGTGGCGGCGTGGTGGGCCGGGTCATTTCCCTAAAATATGGTCGAGCGCAGTGATGGCTGGCTCATCCGTCATACTCGTGAACGGGTGCTGCTTGTAGGGACTGGTCTGCTCTAATCACTATGACTGATTTCCTCTTATTAATTGTTTAACCAGTTGGTTATGTATTCAATTTTTTTTTTTTTGAGTATTTAATTGAATTAGTGCTAATTGGTGGTTTGTATTCACACAATTAAACTTAAAAATGTAAAATAATAATAAAATTATTTAAAAGAGCATCACGCAAGTTTCTTGCTCGTTCTTCTTGTGATGAGACAGCTTTCCGAACGAGCAGTAAATTAAAAAAAATGTAATGACTTTTCAAAAGTGCTTCAATGTAAGTTTATTTGAATAAATGATTTCTATTCTATTCTATTATTTATTTTTTAATAAAATATAACACTAAGAAATATAGGTAAAAGGTATACTTTACATCAAACTAATCTTCTGTATCATACTAAAATTATTATAATAGTAATTACTAAATGAAATTACCAGATTTGAGTCAGGATTAGTAAAAATATTGCATGTTATACTTACAAAAAAAAGTCAATTGATATCCTCCTTATTTATGCACTTAGTTATTATTAAAAATAAAAGTAAATAAATGATTTGTTTTTAAGTAATTAAATTATGGAAAAATATAATATTCACATTACTCAATTACATTAATTCAGTTGGTGGATGACATTAAAATGTTTTTATACTTTAGGGATCAACTAACAAATAAATTATTTTATTCTACCAAATTCATAGTCTTTATGTCATTAATGCAATTTTTCTGCATAGACTGTGGCAGTGACAAGAACTTAATCCAACATCATATATTATAGAATATGATTTTATGCTATACTGATAATATTAGTTCAGTTAAAGTTTACCTAAAAATATATATATTTAATTTGCTAAATTTAAAAAAGAGGTTCTCTATATTATGTTTGTTTCAATTATCAATATGTATCCAAAACAAATATATAAAGAGTTGCTATATATATTTTTTGCTTTATACAGGTAATTTTAATTTTAGAAGGAAAGAAAATATTTTCATGTGAAAGTTGTTTGTATATTTTCTACCAACAGTTTCCTTCCTTTTGTGGATAGCTATAATTTTTACTTTATCTATCAAGAATGTTAACAATAATGAAAGGATGGACGTAATTAAGTTACCAAGCCCTATAATTGTATATACAGCTATTATATATACAAATATATAAAAATATATTAAAATTCATAAATTTTATTATATACGAGTTGATTTGATAGTCACAAGCCAATTTTTATTGTTAGTCTATGACAACTCCAATGATAGACTGTTTACCAAAATAAATCAACATATTATTAGTACATATTGCTCCAAAATTCCAGACACACATATACCTGAATATTATTTTCCATTCCATTCTTCAGCAGTTGGATGAAAATATGTACTATAGCTCTGTTAACATTTTATCTATTATTTAAGTATGAATAATTTATTATTTAGTCATGTTAATAATTTTTAGGAGTAAAAGAATTCAAAATTATTCTATTTATCTACTACAAATATTATAAACTATCATTCAGTAGCATGAAAGAGTAACAAATATCCAACCATCTATTTTTAAAAACTTTTGCATTTATTATATTAATAAGATTATCAAATTTATTTGTTTGTCCATCTTATTTATAAAATACCAATTTCTAAAAAAATAGATGTAAGATTGTTTACTATAGCAAAAGTAAAAAAAAAAAACAGTTTATAAGTATTATCACAATTTGTAAATAAACTACAGAATAACAATATATTAAATCATCATAATATGAAGTAAGTATATTATGAGGCCAATCATGTTTTTAATACTGGCTAAGGTTATGATTTTGACATATTAATTTAATTACAATTATTATTTAAATTCATAATTTATAAATATAGCAACTATTGTTGTTATGTTTGGTATGTGATACCAACTCCAAATAACTACTCATATTATTATTATTTGTTTCATGATTTTTGTTGATATTTTGTGACCAACTATGGTTTAATATCAATACCTTTTCCACAGACTCCATATTATTGTAAACATATAAAATGTATGGACGCGCTCTCGTCACGATCACAATTATTGGCACATGTCCCGCAAATTCAAACGGCTCTTCATTACAAGAATGTCATTATACTACACCAAATGATCGAGATTATTATAAATAGAGACGTGAAAAAACCTTGATCCTCGATGGGACGCTAGTCAGGTTGCACGTAGTGGTTCCGCCGCGATGATCAATCGTCACAATACCTGATCGTATCCAGATATTCAATTAAAACGAGAATACGCCGTGAAACCCCATAAAAATTCCTGGCTTATTCTCCATACATAAACAATGAGATAGGTCGGGTGTAGACGGGCGCGAGCACACGAAACGCACGTTTACTATGGCCGATTTATTGCTTGGGGAGTGCTATTCAAGCAAAAACACGCCGCAGGAGAAAGCATATAACATTATTTTATATCATTCGTGTGATCTAATTAAGGTATAACGATGGGTATGCAGTGAGAAACAAAAAATCGGGATCGCTGACATTTTTGTTTATGGTACATCGACGAGATCCAGAATCCACAAATAGCGAATAAACGTACACGATTACCGCCTTCCGACGGATTCACTTGCACTTGATAACACAATACACTGCGTTTCTTCACATTTATGTTAGTTTCATCGTCAAAATAAAGCTGATTTATTTAATTTCTATTCTTTCTATCAGCGTTAACACAAATCACCACGCACACACAACATACAGATACAGATACATAAAATATGTGCACACACATGGACACTGTATAGTGATGCCACTATGATATTAAAATCGATATTCAATGCATTCGATTTATGATACAAAAATATTATATAAGAACACTTGTAATAATATAAATCATAGTTGTCAAATAATAAATCATAGTCAATAGTTGATGAAACAGTTATCTAAAGTATTATATAATTGTTAATTTAATAATTAATAATTCCGTATATTTTATCCACTTTAGCGTAATATGGATGATAACAGAAAATTATGAAATTTTACTGTAAAAATTTTTACTACTGAAATTTCTAGATCACATTATATAATAATTAAAATAGATAATAGAATGTATTTTTTATTTAAAAAACATAATTATATATTATTAGGAGTATAATAAGTCTGTGCAGTTAAAAATTTGCTTTTTTACCTATTTATAGTAATGGAAAATTTTTATTTTTCAAAATAGTTCTTGAAATTATGTAGGATTTTTACTCATTTATCTTGAGATGCTTATCTGGATCGATTTGTTATTTTTGTAATCAGTTAACACAACACTAAGAAGATAAACTAAAGGACTATATACATTGCCTAATTGCGAGTATTAATGAGTGATAATGATATGGTAACCCCGTCTGCGCTATCGGTGTACACTGGCGAGGCATCAGTGATAGATGACTGTTGAGGATGAAAGCAGGTCAGTTAACCCATCCTGACGAATTCAACTAGAATAAACCACGATGGTTTCCAGGGGGAACCACGTGGAGGTCGACCGGATAAGGTATATTGCTAGTAATGGGGCTATTTGACCTCATTACTAACAATCCCTTTCCCCCTAATTGCGAGTACTAGCTGCAAAGAACATTTAATTCTTAAATCTTTGACCAGATGAGAACAAAATAATTAGTGTGATCTATATAACAGTTAACATTTTGACAGTTTTTACTATAAAGTAACTGAGTTAGGTATTTAAACTTTCAGAATCAAAAATAATATTATTATCAGAATTCACTATCAAATATTTTTTTAATTTCTAAATTACGTTTTAGATTATCAAGGATTATTTTATTTATTTACTTATCATCAAAAGAATAAATTAAGATTATTATTAAATAAAGATATTGATGATTACTATGACAATGTCAAATAAATTATTACTATATATTTGTTGATATATTAATGATTTTGATAACTGTAATTGCATCCCATATTTTTGAAAAATACTTTAAGAAATTATTTTTAGGGTTTCATACTTCATAAGGAAAAAACGATCCCTTATAGGGTTACTTTGCCTATTCGCTGGCTAACTAATAGACAGACAGAAAATCTAAAATTATTATCTAATATTCAAGTCTGCAATCTCTTAAAGTTGTGAAAAATTAATTCTTTAAGTCAACACAATTATATGATACGACTATTTATAACGTATATTTTGACATTTGCAAGGAAATCAAAATTTATTTAAAATATATTTGGTAATATCGTGCAGTAAAAGCTTTATTTAAAAAAATCCTAAACTCTTAATTTGTAATTACATGACAAAAAATCATTGCAATTTCTTAAAATTATATTTGTATGGAATCTTTAGTGCGTGAGTTCGACTCGCATTTGGTCGTTTTATATTCAAATGCATAATTATTTAAATGTGATATTATATTATCTAAACAAAGTATAGTTTAGAATCCAATGCTACAAGTTGAGTATTTTCTTTGAAAGAACCCTACTCTATCTTTAATCTTTGGTTACTTATTCTTTATCTATAATTTTGTTTAACATTTAATTCTTGACAAAGAAAAGTCCATGATGCTTTTATTCTTATATTCAAATTATATTTATCATAGATTGATGTCAAAATTAGTTTACCACAGATAATATACATAATATTGTGTTGTTTAACTTACAAGAGCGAATTAAAATAAAGAGGTGTTGCTGCAGATACAATCCCTTTATAAACACTGTACAAAAGCATATCACTTAATGCATCATGTAAATAAATTGGATTCGGGTTAAAATATTTGCTTATGTTGGAATAAGAATTTAAGAAATTTACTTAATCGGTTAACATTATAGTTACGGTTATCTAGTTATGATCTTTTTGGCTGTGTAAGTAGTTTCCATTGCATTCAATTTTAGGAACGTCGTAGAAAAGTATAACTATATTGTCTATGTTTGGTTTACGGTGAAGGGAGGAGGGACTATTCGCTTCGTTGTCGCCCAAATTAATTTCATAGTGATTTACGACATGATCTTCATATGTGAATTAAAATAAATTACATTATTTAGTGCATGATTTGTGTATAAGTGTGAATTTAAAACCTCCTTTACCGCTTGTTTATTGCTACCGATTACATTCCGACCGCTCCCTGCATATAGGTAGTACGTCAGTCGTCAAGTATTTTTCATGCCTGTTTGTACTACTTACTCTAGTAGCGGCCGTAATAGTAAAAGCTGTTGGAAAGTGCATTCGTAGTGGAAATTGTTAGTGTAAAAAAACTATCCCACGCTCCATATAATAACGAGCGTTATGAGGTGATTGTGAGGCTGTGCATTTTGCAAGATTGTAGCCATTTTCGGTGAGTGCCTAGTTTTTCACAGTCTTATTTACGTGTCGATTATTTGATTTATAAGTATCACATGGATAATTTGATTGTAACGAAGAAGTAAATAAATTCGATTGTAATGTCAATAATATTCAACGTATACTACTTTAATGGTAAGCACTATTAGGAACAGGGCTTAAAATATATCAAATTTCAGATTTCTTTTAGATGACGAATATCACACGTTTTATTTTTTACATTTTATTAATAAATGTTTAAAGTTTAGTTAATTAATACATAGTGTCAGAATTCTAAGATTCTAATTGGATATTTAAGCTATTTTTCATAATGACATAGATTTAGAGTTAGAGATTAAAAACAGTATTTGTGACCTCATTGAAATATGAATGCCTCATTCACTGTATTGTGTATCTAGTAGATGTCATTTTCCTATTTATTCAATGTGTATATGAATATAACATGCTTATAAATAATAATTACTAGTATAGAATTTTCTGTGATGCATATAGTATGCTTCATGAAATGACATTTTTAGGTGTTACAGTATTGACCTTTTATATCTAGTGTTTTCATTATAATTTTTTTACAATGAAACTTGAGTAAGTAAACACTGTTTTGTAGTAGAAACATAAATATATAACTATATTTATACTAGGAACCTGGATAGATTTTGTCCGATGACCATATTATTATTTAATCCTGAATTGACCATATGCTGTTCAATTTTGATGAAGGGATCTCTTAAATCATTTAGGAGGGCCATTTAAATTTTGCAGTGTGACGAATATATGACATTAATATAGTATTTTGGGGACACAGACAGTTTTATTCCAAAGTCATCATAGTTTTTGATGGGAGTAATTTCTAGAGGATGGATTATATGCATTTCTTACCATTTATCAAAAAATATCTTAAAGTTTTAATTCAGCTATAAGGCATATATAATACATTAATATTCCACTATATTTATAGTTGCTGTCTATAATATTTTTTTTTTATATTTGCAAAAATTTTAAGTTATCTTTTACAAACCCTTGTGCATGATTACATGTTCAATTCAAAATGAAAGGTTTAATAATTTTACACATTAATCATGTTTCTTAGAGAAATGTGGGAAAGTGTGTATTTACTTTGTTCTATTTTATTAATACTGTTGCTGTGTTGGGATACTCATACTCCTTCCATTGCTCTTTCTATAAACATATTGAGCAAACAAACCAACTAAGACAATCAGCTAAATCATAATTGTATAAATGTGATACTCATTAACTTTATATTGAAATGTATTATGTGTAGAGAAAGTAGTATTGTCTGTGTGTATATAAAAGTTAAAATTTTCTCATGTTGTTTGCACATTTGTATGGTGTGAACTTTATCATTTTTAGTGTCATAGATGATTGTATGATTATGAGAGAAATAAATCATTATTATTTAAGAATTAGCAGTAGTATTTATATAATATATATATATGTTTTATATATATATATATATATATATATATATATATATATATATATATATATATATATATATATATATATAAATATGTGTACTTAATGCAAAATTTTTCTTCCAGTCATCTATAAAACCATTCAAATTATTTTGTGTAATCACATTACTATTACTGATAAAAATACATAGTAAAATTACATATATAAATTTTTAAATTAAATATATATGAATAAGTTGTATAACTTACACATATATCGACATATACTATATTTTTTATATGAAATAACAATATAAAGTACTTACTGATTGGTAAAGTAAAAATTTTATTTTTTTGAAAGACAGTTTAGTCAGTAATCTCTTAATGGCATCAGGAAGCGTGTTCCAAAGTCGTGAAGAATGTAGGAGAAAAGTGTTTGAAGCATAACCAGTATGGTGAGAGGGGAAGGATAATTGGAGAGTATTATTGGAACAAAGGTTATGAAAAAAAACCATTCAAATTATTTTAATCAAATTTTCAACTGACTGCAAAAAAAGGATGTTCTCAATTCAGTTGTATATATTTTTTTAATATTTAACTGATGAGTTCAATAAAAAAAAAATCCATTTTTTTTTTGATTTGAAATGACATACTTACAGAAAACATGAAATTTTATCTAAAATTGGTAATAGTTTTTCCACAATTGAAATCAGTTTTCTATTTGTGAAACATAATTTAAATATGTGAATGTGTATTGTTTCTTTCAACTTGATATTATTGCAAGAGGCAGGGTAGTTTTTATCCCGATATAAACAAATAGATCCTGTAAGAGGCAAAACAATTTTATTGGGTTGACAAGTTTAGCTATGAACAAAAACAACATATTTTACAATAAAGCCAGTAGTACAGAGTACAAATATTTTAAATAATTGCATAATTATAATTAATAGATAAAATTATTTTTTGTATAATTTTATTTTTTGATTGTACCTATAGTTTTTTTTGTATCTATTTTATTTTGAAATGACTAACTAAATTAATACAAGTAAATAATCAAGATTGTATGTGTGTGTCTAGTATAGAAGAATCAAGTTTATATGAATACATGTTTACACTATATAAAATTTGAAGAAAAAGGGGAATCTAGTAAATAAGTTGGGACCAACTTGATTGAAAGTGGTAACTGTAGCTTATATTTATGGATCACCTCATCACTCACTTCTGATCACCATAGATATCACAGAATACACTGATGTCTATGGTATTTATAAACATTGTAATTCCTGAGACCTAATGTGTTATAATTCCATATCAGTTTTCCGGTTACATAGACGAAGTTGTCAGTAAAAAATAGACTAGTTAAGCTAATTTTTTAAATGTGAAAGTCTGTAAATATGTTTGTTATTCAGCAGTCACACTTAATGGCAGAATGGATTTCAATGAAGAGTAAGATACTTTATATACTGATTCACGCGTGAAAAGTCGCAGTAAATAGTTAAAAATAAATAATATATATTCGATATCTAAGATGCAATGCGGAAGTTAGAGGCACGTGATGTAGTCTCGCTATAGCACCGTGGCTAGAACAACGACCGGCAAGTTTAGCACGTGCTGCCATGGTCGCCGGCGATGTACCCACCGATACATTGTTGCTACCGTATCGATTTTAATGTCGAAGGCTATAGAGACTAAGAATAAACGTTCTTCTTAGCTGAAATTAATATAATGAATTTAATACATAAATTTTCTATCCATTTCACCATACCTAAATATCCTATCCTACTTGCATCCATTTTGGTCCCGGCCTGCTGGCAAATTACGAACCATCATTTGGGTGGTCGTCTCTTACCGCAAGTGGGAGGAAGGGATTGTTAGGAATGGGGATCTTACAACTCCATTGCTAGTAATTCTTGTGAATTTCGGTACGGTGGATTAATTGAGCTGTTTTCATCCTCACGTATCGTCCTTCATTGGTGCCCCGCCAATGTGAACCGATAGCGTAGGCGGCGTTCCCATTCCCATATCACCCATTTAAAAAAAATTTACCGCGAGTGAAAGATGGGATTGTTAGTAATGGAGACTAGCGGCCCCATTGCTGGAAATTTACTGTCAGGTCGACCTTCATTGTGGTTTATTTGTGTGTCCTGCTTAAGTATATCAATAGCACAGGCGAGCTGATCATTCCTTACATCTAAAACTGTTGGTCACGTATTTTTTATGGTTTCTTACTTTTACAAGTGAAAAAGCTTCAGCTTCTTTATTCTCCATAGCAGAACTTACGCAGTCCTACATATGTAGAATACTAGTACAATCCATAGAAATAGGGGGAAGGATTTGTTAGAAATGGGATTTAAACTGTCCTATTGTTAGCAATATATACTATCGACTCCAATCAGTCTCCTGAAAACCATCCTGTTTAAATATTGTTTAATGATTCATGATGGGCTAACCTGCATCACTTATCACCCTTAATTGGTACCTCACCAGCGTATAAAGATAGCGCATGCGTTATCACTATTTCATTTTCACTCATAAAAAAAAAAAAAAACTTACTAATACGAGTACTATAAATGTGGAATTGAGTTTGTTTATTTATTACTTTTTTTTTATACCACTGAGGTGGCAAACAAGCATACGGCCCACCTGATGGTTACCTGATTACCTCTTAGGAGCTTAATCAATCACTATAAAATCTGGGATGCACATACTATAGGGGATGAAGAGGGACATAGGTTACTTTTTATTCTAGTCAGTGTACATGTCCTGGTCACTGTGAACGAAGTCGCGGGTAAAAGTTAATACAATACAAAGTACAATGTTTTATGACAGTCGTATCACTGTATTTATTATTTGTTCTAGGTGACCCAAATCAACGTGCAACAGTATTATCAAGAGCAGCTCACAATGACTACTCCCTTTAACACATTAATTGACAATTAAGTAAATAGTGAATTAGACATGATAAGCATAACACAACAGAAATGGACGGCGTGAAGAAAATACATTCCGGAACACTGTATCGGTAAGTTTTTAAATTAAAATATATAGAGAACATTAGCGTGTGTTGCTATGAATAGTGATTGAAATTTTTGCCTGATGAAGTGGTTACTCAGTTGATACCTACTGATTGTTTTCGGTATCGCAAAAATAGTATAAAGTATATATATAGTGCGATAAAATTACTTATGACGATTATAATTACGGTTCGGTGATGGACTGGCTCTCTCTCACGTAGGATTCCAATATGCTTGGTGAAATGTGGGCATGTCTAATAGTAGACTATGTTTTCATATTTAGATCTGATTTTGTCTGAATTTATCTTGAGAAGTAATAGCATTCAGATGATAATCTGAGGGCTTACCATAAAATGTTTTATGAAATTTCCTAACCAAACACAAATTTTATCTTAAAATTACATAATACAAAGCTACGGTTAAAAATATTAAAAATAATATATCGTTCCTTTAGACTATTATAGTAGGATTTATGACGAACGAAATGTCAAGTGTCATTTACTGGATCGATATCGGTATGAACAAAATTGAGTCCTAAAATCCTGAATATGAAGATGGTTGTATTATGCAACATTTTAAAAATGGCGATACGAACTGATTGCTCACCCATTGGAAGGTGGTAACCGTCGTCTAAAGAGATGAACAGCACCATTCCTGGGATACACGGTATGCGATGCTACTTCTGAAAACTATGATGTTATGTTTCCGTACTCTGTAATTTTACTGCCATATCCCAACCTTAAACCCAAACAGTTATCCAAGAACTGTTGCTTTAGCGTCAGAAACACGATGCTCCGATCTGCTCCAAAATTGTCCAAGTATATGACTTTGTACAAAGTTGCTCTTCCTGGTAAAGCTAGTTAGCCCGTAAATACAATGTCATATAACAAAATGATGCGATCCGACGAAATGGTCTCCATATGCTTACTGCCTAATTCACATTCATACGTCGTCTGTAGCGACTCCGCTGGGTATTTGAATTCGGTCAATAAAAATCACATGTGTATATTCTATTTTTTATAGGAAATTGATGTTTTTGTTTGAATGTTTTATGTACACTATTGTTGACAGAGGAATGTTGTAGAACATGGTTTCTCAAATTTATGGTTCTACGTAACTCTATTAGGCTTTTTAAGGGACTCGTCGCGGTATATACATAAAAACGTATAAACTCATCGCGGTATAAACTATCGATTAAAGAAAGAATTCTCAAAAACAGTTCTGTATTGGCGGCTTAATAGACAATTTGTTTTTTATTTATAGAAAAGTATATAAAGGGTTAATTATATATTGTATTTTTAATTCTGTCAACCAATTTGTTGGCAATATAAATTGAAAACCGTCTTTTTTGAAAGTTGTTTAAATTTTACTTCAGTATAATTTTAACGTAATAGTGTGCCAGTACAAATGTTAAGTTTGCGACCAAGACATCTCGCGACTGAATGGATACCGAACGTTATTCAACTCGTGTTACAAACTAGCTTATGAATGCCTACCTCGTCTGAAGGCATATCATGGAAAGGCAAAATGTATTAAGCACCATATTGGCTGATATTGAGTTATATACATACGTCATTTAATAAATTAATCAGTGCAGTTGGTAACCATTTAGCCACTTTTTGCCATCGACTCCCGGTCGTGCAACCCAATAACTTAGAGCCTGGATGGTCGCGTAAAGCGCGGTTTCAGAGATGTTTCCACAGAAACCGTGAAATGATGAACGCTCACGTTATGAAATTAGCTTCCTATCGAGTTTTTCCAAGACATGGAACTTTCAAAAAAAGGGGTATAAACATTTCAGGGTCGGCAACGTGCGCATAATGACCCTCGTATTGCAGGCGTTTATAGGGTATGATAACCTTTCAGGTGGGTCATATGCTTATTTGTCACCTCAGTGCTATATAAAAAGAAAATGTCTTTTCGCTTCGTTTTTTGCTCTTCTGTAAAATTTGCTAAATGGCGCTTATTACGTTTTGCCTTTCCATCATCGATATTTATATTGTAGACGTAGAACGTACAGCTAAGTGCTTCCAGTAACATACGACTAGATATCCTGAGTATTGTATAAAACAAGTTTAAATTAACAACAACAAACTACTCACTGTTGTATTGTTAGTGAGTACTATTTTAAATATGCCATCTTCGAGTACAATAGAGTTCTAAGATTCATTGTTAGGATTTTTTAAAATATATTTATGCTGTATACAGGCTCTTTTTAGGCGACTTTAAAAGGAAATGTGTTCTCATTTGGATGGTTTTTTTTTCGGTGTTTTCTCACCCTTCTGTGTCCTTCTTTTAATAGGAACACGAGGGCATACTATTTATGTACGGGATATTTTCGTCAGTTTTAAATTTGAATTTTACTTTTTTTTATTTTGCAGCCGATGACGTTTACTCTCGAACTGATTCCATACTGAATTGTTTGAATTATTGATTGAAACTTTTTTTTTTGTGGAATGGTATCCTAAAATATAAATTTATTTTTATACAAGCTGTTTCTGCATTCGCATCTAGTATGTATCTCATAAAAAGTAGTCTAGATTATTCACTTTGCCATATATTACGTATATCCCGAACTTTATGAAGATTGGTCGAAGTGAGCTGTTAGGTTACCAAGTAAGTTTATTCCTGTAAAAACGATTATAAAAATCTGTATATTATATACACACAAAAAAAATATAGATGAAATGAGCGTCTTTTCCCGAATCTCCTCCTTTATGAAGTCACCTATAATAAAAAAGACTGAGATGCCTTCTTTTACTAGAATATTAAGAATACCAGCGAACACGAAATATAAAAGCGCTGAAAAATTATTTCGATTCTATTTTTATAGGTACAAATATTATTATGTATTTGTTTGAATTGTAAATCCCTTTGTGTTATATACTTTTGCAATTTACATTCTGTGCTCTTCACAGTGATACCACCCAAGAGGGGTTTTGTTTGAAGATTTTATTTTCTGTTACTGAAATTTTCGCACTTTTTACGACCACGATAAAACGAGAATTTGTACACTAACTCATTCATCACAATCTTGTGGTCAAGCCGTTTGTGCGCTCGTAACATATCTGTACTCGTATCAAGTAAATTTTATACAAGAATACAGGACTTTAATTATCATAAATTTATTTTAAACTTAAATAAACTTAAACACACCGGAAACGAATGTAAAATTTAGAATATAGAGTCGTGAGTATTAGAAGGTTTGTTTTGCAATAATCAGGAGTTTGACTGAATTTCTTGCGTCCTCTGAATAGGGCAGAAGACGTCCACAGTGATCCTCCATTAAGATCGATTTTGAATCAGGATTTACTCGGCAAAAAATATTAATCGACACAAAATTATGGAAGTAAGACGGGCATAAACCTTATTTGTTTGTAAATATAATTATCAAAGTAGCTTGAGAATTGTCAAAGGCTTTGCGTAATTTTTTTTAATGGATAATAATTAAATAGTAACTAATATACTATAATATACTAGTTAATTAAGTATTATTAATAATCCCTCCCCCCCTAGGCCTCACGTAATATAACCACATCGAAATAGAGAAGATTATGAACTACCTTATTTAGGAAATTGTTTAAAAACTAAATACATTTCTTGTTAGAGGAGTCGTGCTACAAAGTAAATAATATATATATTTACTTAACTAGGATTATAAAGAAGAAAGATTTTAATTGTTTTGTAATAGGTAAACTTAATAAATGCTTATTTTAATTTTTTTTTTTCCTATAAAAAGCTGCATTATCAACGAGTAACATGTGCTGTATTCTATTAAAAAAATAAAAAATAAAGATCTATCTATCTACCCGAGCGAAGTCGGGGTTAGTTGCTAGATAGGATTATATATCGTTATATCGTTGTACAAATATACATATCTACTCTGCACTAAACATTTACTATTTATTTACCTGTTATTGAAAACCGTGCAGATAGGTTCTATAAACTGTGCACGCGAGTTCGTATTGAGATCACCTGAATTGCTTTGGGCGTGTAAGTTGTTTCGCGGTGTATTTTCTTTGTAAAAATAGCTCGTGTATCGGGTATATGTTGGGAGGAAAAATGGCCACATCTTTCACCAATGCGTTCTGAAGGTAAGCAATTTGCACACTTATGACGCACAGGTAAATTTCGTAGGTGTTTTCACTTCGATATAGGTAGGATTTGTGTTTGACCTGGTAAACGTTTGTTCCAGATCGTCTCGTTTACTGTTAATCTAGCTCTTGTTATTATATCCATTTGGAGTTTTTTTTATTATGAAGTAGATATTAATAATGTTAGAGGAGATGCTTTTGCGTTCGCGGTGTTTTAAAAAGGTATTCAATAAATAAAATAAATATATAGTATTATTATTTATTCTGTTTCATCAGTTAATCAATATAAATTGTGGTTTCAAAGAAGTTTTCTACCGCGAACGCTTAGGCTGTGAAATCAGCTCCTTGCCGAGGTTTTTCCTAGAGACTACAGTATGGGGTTCTTCAAAAAGTGTATAATAAGATTCCTTCAGGGTCGGCAACACGCACCTGATACTCTTAGTATTGTAGGTGTCCATAGGCTACAGTGGTCGTTTACATTCAGACGGTTTTTATGCTTGTTTACCACCTTCTTGGGATATTTAAAGAAAGGTCAGCTTGTTTTATATTCCCAAAACTATAAGGAAATCACAAAATTTGTTGACTATAACTTAGTAACCACTACTAAAAATTTTTACTGTGTACCAAATTTGTGAAAGAGTCGCTTTTCATACGAAATGTATGGTTTGGTCTATTTGTTATTCTATACACGGATTCATCGATGCGCGAAGTAGCACCCATAAACCGCTTTACACCTGTCCGACAATGAATAGACCACATAGGCACAGATGTGTAGTTCACCAAGGTTGCCCATTGTTAGATAAACTCGTTAACTAATACAAGCTGCCGTGGAAAAAACACATTTTTGCTGAAAATCGTTCAGAGCAAATAAATAGTAAATAAACCTACTATCTAAAAAGAAATCGAAGATTCAA